AAATATCTAAATGCACGTGTCATTTGATCAGGAAGCAGAAAGTATGACAGATGCTACTGCAGGGTGGCTTGTGCACGATATCCTTTGAATAGTTTTGCTTTACATTTGCAGTGGCTGTTTTTCCATGCATAGAAATCATCAACATTCAAATAAAATATGCATGTTATTGCTTGAAATGCCTGGGCCAATACATCAATTTGAGATTAATTTAAAAGATTAGATGAGAAAGATTTCAGCATTCTTCTTTCTGTTCATTAGATGCAACAGTCGGAATGTCCCATCCTGCTGTGGGTCTCATTTTCTACAGCTAGTGTGAACAAACAGGAGAGTGCATGTAGGAATGTCTGACACTTGACTGCAGCTGAGTCGCCCCACGTCAAAATGATTTGTGACTCTGTTTTTCGGCTCAGAAAGCAGCTCTGAAGTGTATAGCCCAATGAAAATTTTGAAGTGAAGAGACACTGCTCTATACACCCTAAAAGGCCAGTAAAAAATTAAACAAATTAGATTAAAAGAACAGCTTTCCAGTGAAACCATTTACTGTATCGTACTGTTTTCTGCCTTACAAAGGGCACTAACACCGAAAATGGTTGGGTTGGAAAATGAAAGCTTTAGCATAAGTTCTGCCAGGAAGACTTAATTACTGTGTTTATCCAATCACGCCCTTATTCTTATCGTATAAAAGATCGGTACTTACACATGTTTGAGTTCGCAGATGCTGACGCGACAACAACCTCCACCCTCCCCACCACCACCAGGATGGTCCCGTCTACACTTCCCTGGGGGGTCGGATGCGCCCCTGCCTTCGTCTTCAGGCAGGAGATGCTGATCCGCTACCCTCGGATTACGATCTATGGATGGGGCCTACGCCAAAGAACTTTACAAATAATTGCTTGCTGGGCTGCCAATAAATGAATGCTTTGTTACATAATTTTATCTCTCGAGTCTTTCTGGTAGAACTGAGAAAAATGGCTAACAACCTCCCCTTATAAATTGATTAATTTGATATCAACATTCACTCCATTTTGTTGTTCAGCATTGAGCCACAGTCTAAGATTTTGATTTGAGTCAAAACTCAGTTTAGACAAAATGAAGACGTTTACAAGGCCAATTAAAGTCGACATGAAATGAAAGTTACGATAATGTTTTATTCCCTATTGTGACGTATATCTGAGTGAAACAGTGAACAAGAACAAATGTATATAGGGCGGGACTTGATTTTGTCGATCAGGAATTTTTTGGATTGTTGGATCCTTGGAGTTTGCGGTGATTGACAGGTTGTCCCACCCTTGCCAGTAAACACATCATCAGAGAAGAGATGTGGTTACAAGTTATTTATTAAGTTATTTTGATTAAAAAAATTGTGAATGCACATAATTTTTTTTTTTTAAATGTGCACAGACAAATCGTTTATAATAAGCTAAATACTGCAATATTCCAGAAAAAAATAACAATTGTCAATTTTGATTTCATGGTGACTTTAAGTGAAAAATACTTTTAAAAAACTTTTCCAGTATTTTATAATGTTTTTTTTCCCCCACCAAGACAATGTTGTTTCCAAAGGTTTGTTAACCTCCACAGACATCAAACAGAAGTATAAATTGACACATTCAAGCCTACGTGGTTGTGGGCTGTCGTCAGTCACAAACATTCACTGATGAAACTGATGAGACTGAACAACTGAAACAGCTCACTGGCATTTCATTGGCTGAGGGCAGGACTGTCAATCATGCCTACAGCACCTGCGAGCGCTGTGGCCATTCAAAGTCCTTGGGCCATTTAATGAGCGTGCGTGACGCTCAGAAAACCCGAAAAACCTTCTGGATACCGTTCGTCTTCACCGACCCGGTAAGTGTGTTCTTCTCTGCTATTTTACTTCTTCTTGTGGATTCACAGACATAGTGTGAACGACAATGTCATAATATTCCTAGGGGTTGTCTTAAGTTTTTGTAGAATAATTCATTTGTAAATGATGAATGGGTCATCTCAAATGTCATTAAGGCGGCAGAATTCTCCCGTCACTTCTAAGAATCCTGTAAATTGGGTGACATTTAGTTTGGAAAAAGTTAATATAAGTTTAAACCCTCAAAAGTCATTAAAAAGAGTTAGTCATTAAAATATTCTGACATATGGAAACTATTTTATTTTCAGTCCGTTTTCTATTGTTTTTACACACATGAACACCTGAATGCTCACAAAAATGTGAGCATGTTTTATCATTATTGTTTTTTGTTTTGTTTTTTACTTTAAGTTGCCTACTAGTTTTATAAGATGTTCTTAATCTTTTTTATTCAAATACAATAACTGTACAGTTCCTGGATGTCTGTCCAGTCAGAATATTGAGCAGATGCCACAACAGGAGATTTACATCTTAACTGACTGGTGATCAGATTAGAGGAGATTAGAGAGAAACTTCCTCTGACAGGGGAACTGACCATGTGCAGGAGCGGCCTGCAAATGTATATTCATGTGATTGTATCTGCCAATCAGCTTGTTCAGTTTGCTTTGGATCTGTGCTGAAATGTTCCTATATGCCATAAAGCTGTCAGCTATAGCCTGTAACCCAAACTGTTTACTGTATATACTTGTATTGCACTTTTAATGCATAGTTTTCATATAGGCATAATATTTCATATACAGTATCTGGTTATCTTTGCATTTCTTTTGGGTTTTAAACCCTGACCTTATCAAGAGTCAATTTAAAAACATTTAGATAGGCATGAAGGTGTTTGTTAATAGCCTAATTTATTGCTCATGTTATCCATTCTTTACATCAACTTCACAAGTGTTTTTTCACTTTGATCCGTTTCAGAACAATTGGTGGGTTTTTGTGGCAGGGAGACGAACAGAGACCTAGTGCTGGTGTCCCACAACCTCAGACTCATTAGGCAATGTACCCCTGGGTGGCCTTGCTATTTTTAGATGTGCCTTAGTCTAGTGAAATTCTAAGGGGTTCGATAGGGGTCTGTAGATGGATGTACAGATAGATAGATAACTTGATAAGTTGTACTGGGAATTGTAGTTTTATGCTAAAAGCTTTTATGGTTCAGGGCCTGTGGTTTCTGTAAGGTATACACTCAACCCATGTTTGGGTCAAATATAGACAAACCCAACTGTTGGGTTTAAAAATGTAATTTAAACCAAATTTTTAAACCAAACAGTTTGGTTTGTCCATATATTTGATCCAAACATTTCGTTGAAACAACCAAGCATTTTTTTGAGTGTAAAGTATATACAAAAATTGTAGAAAAGTTTAAGACGTACTACTTTAAACTGTTTTGATATTAAATAAAATTATTAATCAGATAAAGATTCAATTATATCTTTCCTGAAAACATATTATCTTTGAACAATAATTGTATTTACACATTTAATTTAAAACTAATTCAATTAAACAGAGCTGGTAGCTAAACTAAAACTAAGCAAATAAAAATCTATATAGGCATAAACTACTGTTCAATTTTACTTAATTTTTGTGTGGAAAGAGACTACTTTAATTTAAGAATTAAGCATTAAGTTGATTAAAAAGTGACGGCAAAGACTTTTACATTAACCTTTTTTAACTTTCTATTCATCAAAGAATACTGAAGAAAAACTGTGTCACTGTTTCCACAAAAATTGCAGCACAAATGTTTTCAAAGTTGATAATAAGAGGAAATGTTTCTTGAGCACCAAATCAGCATATTAGAATGATTTCTGAAGGATCATGTGACACTGAAGACTAAAGAAAACCGCTACTTTAAATAATATTTCACAATATTAGCCTACTGTTTTTACTGTATTTTGATCAACTAAATGCAGCCTTTTAAAACATTAATATATAATACTGACCTTAAAACTTTTGAATGGTATAGTGTATATATTGAGAAATGTTTTTAGTGTGCGTTAATATTGATTCCATATACATAAAGCGGTTTCTCTTGCGAGCTTTTAGAATATGTCACTGAAATGAACATTGTAACATTGAACTGTGGGCAGTGAGAGGCCTTATATCTAAAGCAGATGAGCAGGGTTGTGTTGAGTCAGCACTGGATACTGCCTATGTATGAAGCAAGGACAGAGACATGAAGTCTGGACTGGAGTCGGTCTCACATATCCTGGGAAAAGAAAGAGCAGCCTGGAGACCCACAGACACAGGCCCTGCTGTCACTATAACATGACAGTGTTACATTTTCAAATACTTGTGTTGGTCAAAAACTTGTAACTGAAGTATATTTAGCACAGAAACAACTGACAGGGTATCGGAAGAAGATGATGTAAATTGAAATGCTATGGAAAGTGATGGTCAACTGCAGTGTTTTCTTTACTTTTCTGCTGCTAAATCTACGTCACAACAAAAGAAACGTATTTTACCCTATACCAGTTAAAAGTATAGCAAAATAAAGCAAAGACAGCATGTCTTTCAGTTGCGTTGTCTTTGTGGCCGCATGCGAAAACAACCATGCAGGACAACCATTATAGAATGAAGTCAAAAAGTCAGCATAACTTTCATAACTGTGGATTACACATGCTAATAAAACATAATTTTTTTAAATGCTGGTCTATTGCATACCATTGCAATATTTCATACTCTTGCATTGCTCTGATGTGGGAATCATTGCAGTTTGTAAGAGATATTTAACTGAATGAAGCATGAAGCTACTTCAAGGGGCAAGTTCTAGCCTAAGGCCTTACTTGGATGTCTATTAAACTGGACAATATCTACAAGGGGTCACCCACTCAGACACAGGCAACCAAATCCTGTCAGGCAGATAATTTATGGTGCATCGCAGAGACTGTTTTACCACTGCTGCTATTCATGGAACCCCAGTGATCTTTAGAAAGCAGGAAGCAAGTGGTGATGAATGGACATTAACTAATGTATCAAAATATCAATGTCAATGGACTGGAGTATGACCTACATATCGGCCAACACCTTTTGAGGCCCCACTAGTATGGATGATGATTTATAGTGTCATATAAAGGTGAATTATTCTTTTTTTTTTTTTTTTTTCAGAGGCAGGATGGAGGAAACAGAACTCTTAAAGGAGCGACTTCAAGCTATTACGGTAACCTTACATGGGTTTGTCTGCTTGTTTCAAAGCTCTCTGAAAAACTTGATTGTGATTGGTTAAATGCTGCAATCTGTGCTAAAATATTTTTTAATGATGATTGCTAAACAGTATCTGTTATTTTAGTGTTATTCTTTATTTTATTTTATTTTTTGCATTATACACCTATAGTATTTATTAATATTTTTAATTAACTATTTTTTTGATATTTTCAGTTTATTTTAATTTGTTTTAGAATTATTGTTACATGCTTTTTTAAAATTCATATTTAGCTTTATTATTTAGCTTTATATATGTATTTGTTTTTGTAATTTTAGTAGTTTAACTTGATAAGACATTTCTCATTTGAATTTGTTATGTTTTTTTATCTAATTTGCATTTTATTTCAGCTTTATTATTTTTCAACAATGAACTGTATAGTTGACATCAGGCAACCGCTTTACTATCACATAGATGTACTACTGTTGTACCATGTCTCTATTTGGGCACGTGTCCATTTGTCCACAGAATAAGAAAAAAATCCAAGAGGAAATTGCCCACAAACGGCTTGAAATTGACAGAGAGAAACTGAAGCTTCAGCATGTTAAGGTACCTTCTTGATGTTAGATAGTGTCATTTTCATCAGCATTTTTCTGCATTTTATGTTTTGAATTATAAGGGTCTGGAATTTAAAGTATCTCTCTATGTGTCTTTTATAGAAAAGGTCCATGAGAGATCTGTGGCTCATGGATGGGATGAACAGCAATAATCCACAGGAAACACAAAAAGCTCTTGAAGATGCCCAACAAACGAAACACCTCAAGAGTAATATATATCGGTAAGACAAATTATTGTGTTGTGCCTTATCGTATTTTTAATTTCAATGTTTCATTACTGTAGTTGTATTTATCTCATATTTACCACAAGAGTGGCTCTTGACCAAACACCATTTTGCTATTTAAGATTTTTCCATAAAGAATGTCAGCTAGTTTGTTGAGATTACCATAGCATATCTGGCATTCTGGCATCTTCTGAATATAAAACATTTTCAATCTGAACTTGAGGGTCTTTTATATTTAGCTTCAGGGGTTGGCCTGATGTTTCTCAGCTAATGTTTTTTGCCCTGTGGTGCCCTAATAAAATCTTTTAGAGTGAAGTATGAGGCAAGCGGTGTGCAATGCTTTGTAACCGCATTGCATTGTAGTAGCAATGAAGTCAGAGAAGGATGCTTAAAAAAGCTTTTCCCATGGTCTTGAGAAGCTGCTACATACAGGTCACACCCTGGTACAAATATTGCTGTTGGTTTCATTCTTTGTGGGTGTGTTAAATGATTCAGGCCGATGGTGATTCTGACTGAACCTCTGTCGTATGAGAGAATAAAATTCTAATGTCTGTTATTAAATATGTTTATAATGCTTTCATACGCTCTTAACAACTCAATGTGTCTTTAACTCATTGGATCTAGCATCTATACAGCAAAAAGTACAAACAGAGTATGTGTGTGTGTGTGTGTGTGTGTGTGTGTGTGTGTGTGTGTGTGTGTGTGTGTGTGTGTGTGTGTGTGTGTGTGTGTGTGTGTGTGTGTGTGTGTGTGTGTGTGTGTGTGTGTGTGTGTGTGTGTGTGTGTGTGTGTGTGTGTGTGTGTGTGTGTGAGAGAGACAAGAACTCTAAAAGACGGAAGATTTAGAAAGCAATTATTTTTACAAATTCTCTGTAGGATAGAGAAAGAGATTGAAGCGTTGGAGAGAGAGGAAATGAACATCTCAACAAATGAGGGGCTGATTCTAAAGAGGCTAAAAGCCATTGAAAAATCTCCAGAGGACATCATTAAGGTACAGTGCTTTTGTTATGGTTCATTTAAAACAATCAGAAAATGTGTCTTTTGCTTTAAAATAAAAATTGAAAAAAAAGGCTTTATACATCTGAAAATTGAAGACACTTTTGTTAGAAAATGATTCTGTTTGTATCTTCACAGGCAGTGAATGCAGATTTCATATCAGGTAAATACTGTAAAATTACATCACAATCACAATGTTTATGGACCATAAAACTGTTGTTTTGAATTCTGGATTATTTATGAATATTGGAACTTTTTTTGCAGACCCGATATATATACATTCAACAATTCCAAATATGCTAAAGCCCAGCACAACTGTATTAAATCAGAGGAAGAAACAAGACCTGGAAACTGAAGCAAAAAAGGATCAAGCCAAACCTGGTAAGCTGAAAGAAGACTTCCAACATCTTCAATATTTTTCTATAATGTAGATCTAGCAAAACAAATCTTTTAAAACAGGAACTGGGTTTCCCAAATCCCTGGGAAATAGCAGGGAGTTTGTGAGTTGATTAATTATTTAAAGCTAATTAATGAAATCATAATTTTGACTAAAAGGGCATGCAGTAACAGAGGTCTGGGCGGGCCTCCGACTGCATTGGCATCCATTGCAACTCGCCCACCACCTCCTCCTTGGAGTCAGAAGCTTCTAAGGGCGCTTCATTCCACTTATTTTCTTCCGGCCTGCTGAATCGTGCCGCTGACGAGCCTCACCACAGCCTATGGCCCAGGGAGAGTGGAGACTCCGTCCCCAGGCGGTCCATCTGTTTCGGACCACTTCGGGGCCGCACTGTTACATCTGTTGCCCCTCCGGACTCATCCCGGACTCATTTTCTCCTGTCTGAGTGGACATCCCTCGACACAGAAAGACACTGGCCACAGCTGGCCCCGGGGCCCCCGCAGAAATGCGTTCCCCAGTGAGCCTTCTTGCACAAAACTGGGCTAAAGTCAGGGAGGAGATGGAGCAGGTCTTGCTAGTTGCCCCTTTTGGCCTAACCAGACCTCTCCTCTCGACAGCCCTTCCTGACTCCTTCTTCTGAGTACATTCTCAGGGATGGGGCATGATGGCACCTGCGTTTAGACCTTGGAGAGTTCCAGGTCTGGTTCTAAAAGAACGGGACGCAAAAGTTCTGGTTACTACTGCAAGAAATTTTATGCCGTAGAGACCATCACTTCTGTGAGAGCACCCTCTCAAAATGAGGCACGCTCCCCCTTAGAAGTGGAATCTATTCGTTGAATTGAGTCTTCTCTCCATGAGGAGATCCCGAAGGTGTTCGATCACTTCAGTGCTTCTTTCCTGCTAAATGGTTGAAGTGAGGGCTGTCTACTCCACCTCAAAATGTTGTTGCCTCTGTATTGACGCACATCATGATGCAGTGGATACAAATCCGTGGGAAGCACGACTTGATCGTCAGGTTCCTGAGGGGAGCAAGGAGACTGAATCCCCCTCTTTACCCTCTTGGCTACTGCACTGCAGAGACCTCCCTTGAGCCCTGCAGGCAGTGAGTTAAAAATCCTGTTTTTAGAGAAACAGTTCTCCTGCTTGGTCTCTATCTAGAGGGTAGGGACTTGAACGCATTTTCGGTCAACGAATCATGCCTGGAATTCGGGCCAGCTATCTCTCATGAATCTGAGACCTCGGCCTGGATATGTGTCCAAGGTTCCTACCTCTCCTACGGGACCAGGTGGTGAGCCCGGAGGAGGCAGACCCAGCCCTGGCTTTTCTCTGTCTGTCCGCTCCATTGCGGTTATACGTGCTCAGAATGCAAAGCCTGGATCTCAGACCAGCTCTTGTCTGTTACAGAGACCAGCAGAAGGGAAGGCTGTTTCCAAACAGAGGTTGTCCCACTACATGTGGTTGCCTTCATCTTGGTGAGAAAGTTTTCCCAAACTTTGCTCCTTAGGATGCTCCCCTTTAGTTTCCCTCGGCAGAGCCTGCTCTGCCGTCACTGTTCGGTTGATCCTCCCCCCTGTTATAGGCCGGAGTCATCCCAGTGACATTCCATATATTGTACTGCCCGGTCTTCCGCCCAGTCCATATGTGTCTTCTCCACATGTTACCTCCCTTTGGGCAGGATGTGGCTTCCGCAGCATCCCTTCCTTCTATTGATAATGTACGCTTTACCAGTGGTCCTGTTGAACAGCAGTGACTTCCCTGGCCTAAGCCCTGCCATCTGTGCTTCAATGCAGAGGGTTCAGGAGGCTTTTGTTTAGGCACTGGAAGGTGGCAGCATTAGTGGCGTTTTCATGGTGATCCCATTCAGTTGAACGTCGACTTCGTCAAACGAGTTATGCTCGGCTCCTCAGCGAAAAAGCAACTAGTGTGTGCATCCACTTCCGTATTTATACCCGCGCCATGGGGGCGGGTGTGTGATGCAAATCATGCATGCCAATTCCATTGGCTCGTTTCAATAGTACTCGAAGATGACTGGCTCCCTGGCGTGATCCCATTCAGTCGAACGTCGACTACATCTCCGTTCCCTCCTTCAGGGAACGGGGGTTGCATATGCCACCGAGACGTTCTTCAATCTACTTAGGCTTAAGATGCTTTTGAGAAACACAGCCCAGGTGTCATTGGTTGTTCAAACAGAGTCCCGCCTCCAAAATCACACCATTGGTTGATCTAATGTTTTTATGCTGTGATACTCAAATAGAGCAACATTTGATAGCGCTACAGCCACAGTCTTTACACTTTCATGGATATGGACACATAAATGTCTTACTTTCTTGTTTCCAAGTTCAATATGCAAAGATAATGGTAAATATTTTAACATCTTAAAACAATCTTAAAAAATCGTATATATTACACACATTCCATTTGTCTCTTACAGCTTTGTTTGCCATGGAAATTAATGTTCAGAAGGACTTGCGCACAGGTGAAAGCCAAGTGCTGTCCACCTCCGCCATTTCTCCCCAAGAACTCCAGCAGAGAGGCATCAAAGTCTACGACGATGGCCGGAAGTCAGTCTATGCCTTACGCACGGACGGTGACCAGCCTGGTGCGAACGGAGTGGATGAACTCAGTCCCGTGGAGGTTGAGGAGCTGCTGAGACAGGCCTCTGAGAAAAAGAAGAGGTCCAATCAGGTTCAAATGGACCCTTCTTATCCCTACAACATCTCCCATGAACCACAATTAGACCCCAACAACATAGAGAGCCACAAACCCAACGGACACCAAGATCCCTACAGCATCGACTTATCTGCATGGCCTGAGCTTGTGTACAATGATGGTATTCGCGATCCGGAGGACGTGGGTCATAGACTTCCACTCCTTCCAATGCCTGATTATAATGACAGACCAGACGAATACTATCAAAACGACAATGGGAACAACTACAGCCGTGAGTTATATAGAGGGGAAAGACACGCGCATGGACAATATCACAACCGAAGAAAGAGCAACCGGGGAACACAGCATTTGGATTGTGATATCAGAAACCACAGCCTGTGCTCGGCCTACTCTGAGGACTCCAAAGTGAGCACATTGAATGCCATGCCATCGGATGAGCCCGTCACCATGATCTTCATGGGCTACCAGAATGCCGAAGATGACAGCCAGAGCTATGAGGGCTCAGTTCGGGCAGAGCTGGTGATCGTTGGAGACGGTGAAGATGACGCAAGCAAGAGCTTCCACCCTCATCAGAGGTCCAACGTCAACAACGCCTTTTCCTACTCTGCCGGATGGAGAGGCAAAAGAGAGGGCATAGAGGACCCGTCAACTACAGGTACCCGTAAGATTAAAAAAGTCAAAGAGAGACACAAGCACTGCTGTGTGCTGATGTAGTTGCACTAACACTCTATCAGCTCTTCTATGATGCAGCTTCTCACCAGACTGGCTTTCCTCACTCTGCATGCTGGACACTGCTGTGGTTTTCAGTTTTTCAGTGTCTTAAACTGTCATTCATGTTGTCATTTGGTTATGTTGTCTGACAGGGTTTGTAAAAACACCTTGTCGTGTAGCTTTAGAGCAGGGGTCTTCAACTGCAGGGGTCCATCAATTATCATTAAATCTCAAAAAAATAAATTTGAAAATGTGTTGAACAAAGAAATCGATAATAGTAAAAACAAATCTAAGGTCATCTAAATACACAACAGTTTAAAAGTTTTGGGTCAGTAAGAGTTTTTTATGTTTTTAAGGAAGTCCTTATATTCACAGAGGCTGCATTTATTTGATCAAAAATACAGTAAAACCAGTAATATTGTGAAATATTTTTTTGAATTCAAAATAACTTTCTATTTTAATAAATTTTCAAATGTAATTTATTCCTCTAATTGTAAAGCTGAATTTTCAGCATCAGCTCGTTCCTTCTCAAGGAACTGGGGTTATATTAATAACCTAGACACTCCCTTTCGAGGGAACTCACCGCTGTGTCATAACGTTGACGCTATGGGAACGTTAATACCCACTTCGCCATCCTGAACAAGCACCTGCTTCACTAAGATGTGAAGATATGCACAATCATAGTGAGCCAGTGTCAATAATTCAGGTGACTTACACTGGAATTTAATATGTCAAAGTCTGTTCTGGCGCATAACCATGACATGCAATGCCCTTAATACCTAGAAGAGCTAGCGGCTCAGGTAGTGACATTCCCGAAGCTCAATGTTCTAACTAACCAAATTCCATAACAGCCCAACAATGGATGAGATACAGTATTGCTATCGCAACTCTAAACATCCTCAACCCGTTACTACCTCTTAAGCACGGAACAGCCTTAGCGAAGGGAGCATGTGAGGTAACTTCTCAGCAGGCTGATCTCCAGACTTAAAGTTCTGGAGAGGGCGACAGATCATGATTCAAACTACTTCTGCTCTGTCAAGGAGCCCGCTTCATCCTTCATCACGCCTTTTGAAGAAGGGCATTATTAAAAGCAACTCATACCCAGGGGAGCATGTATCCTTTAACTTTAACACCCAATGATGATTGGGGAGGGCTAAGCTCTATACCCTTAGCCTCATTGGCAAATAAAGGCCTATTCCCACAGCTTTGTAAGGAAGTGAGGAGGACAGAAAGTGAGCTGCCACAGTGCAATGCCACCTTTATACTCTGTCTTCATTCTCCTCATGAACCTTTAGGAAATGTGTTACATAGTTCCACTATGACCACACTATCACCATGTCCAAACTGGAGGGGCGACAAATGAGAAGTCTGGGTATTTGCCCAGTCTTCCTAATCTATACAAGCCTAAGGTATATAACCCTTCCATCATTATCACTTCCAGGTCCAAACTGGAGGGGCGACAGATGAGGCAGTGGGGGTGTTGCCCAGTCTACCTAGCCTGTAGAAGAAACAAAAGACAGATTACCAAGAAGGCTCACAGAGAGCCCTTCACACTTGATATCACTGTCAAGACAGAGCTCTGGGGAGCGGAGGTCTCAGCATGATGACCCTCTAGACTAGAGCGAGAGGAGGCTTATCTATGCTCTACACACTGGGGAGACAACAACTGATGAACTGATGATGTCAATGGATCTAAATAGGAAAGTATAAAAAAGGGAAAACTCCCGTCAAACTCATCCACCAGTTTATATCCGCGGTCCCCATGATCAGAACCACTGCGTTGCATCTGCAAACGCAGGGTCTAAAACGTGATGTGCAGACACTCGATACTGAAAGAAATCATTAAAACGTGTTCTCATCTCGTGCAGAAGTACAGTCCAAATGCTGCATCTGTAACGGCATGAGAGGATAATGTGTGCCTAAATTTCCCGCTGACATGTTGAAATACTCTGAGTCAGATACAAAAATGATTAGGATATTTTTTTACCTCACTAAGTTAAAGCTGCAGTAGGGAGTTTTGAGAAAACGTTGACTTAGCCTGAAAATTTGAACAAGCACAACTTACAGGTCCCACCCCCTTGCTCTCTGCTGCGCTACAGCCCTCCCTCCACAGCTCGTCCTCCACAGCGGAGCCTGTCGTGAACGCGCAGGCTAGTAAACAGGGCCACCGATAACAGCGGATAAAAAGTTATTTGGCACATTCACTAATTGGGACTAAACGTCAATAATATGCTTTACATGGCCTGCCCATACTTTGACTACAAACTTGGTCCTCAAATCATTATGTATTTTCCAATAGCCTACATGTAACTTTATAACGTTGCACTCTTTCTATAAGTTATAAATAGCTAGTAAGATAACGTTAATATAACGGTAACTAACGTTACAGCTGTAACGTTAGTTACCGTTATATTAACGTTACCTTACTAGCTATTTATAATATGATCATGTGTGTTACCGTATGTTGATATGTGTTACAGTATGTTATGTAAGTAATTATTCTAGCGATATATAATGCTAGATAAGGTGTGCTAGTACATTATTCCAGCAACATGACAAGCCAGTGAATTAGCAGGTTTCAATTGTTGCTTGGATGCAGAGTGCGTGACATTTTATCTACATGTTATGCGGCTAGAGTTTTGACACCGAGTCAATGGGCTCTGTGTAATTCTTTCTTTTTCGCTTGTTTATCGTCATCGGTCTTTTTCCTTTTACCTCTTTGTTTTATGAGCAGGTGTCACTCGAGAATTGGCAGTTTAGGTTGTTTCTCCGTCATAAGCACAGCTGCAGCTCGCCGGCAATCTTGAGTTTGAACGACGATACGCCGCGCACTGTGCAAGAGAGGGGTGTAATCAGCGCGTACACGAGCGTGATTGACACTGCTAAGACACTCCTCCTGGCTCTGATTGGTTGTTTCTGACCGGGAGCGTATATTTCTGCAAATGGCAATAGGACCACTGGGAGGAGCCAGAGGAGCTTGATTTTTACACAGATTATCTGTCTCATATTCTACTGTCAGGACATAATGACAGTTTTAGCAAATACATTTTTTCAAAAGTTACCTACAGCAGCTTTAATAAACAAATAAGTAAGCCCCGCCCCCCTCACGATAATATCGTGTATCGCCGATCTCACAGGCTGACGATAGGCCGATATGAAAATAGAGGATATTGCCCAACACTACTGTCGCTTTTGATCAAGTAAATGCATATTTGCTAAATAAAATCATTAGAATATTTTTGACGCCAAACTTTTGAACGGAAGTGTATGTCATTGTACCTCCCATATTAAGATCTACATTTCATTTACATTTTAATTTCACCTAATACACTTAATATGTAATTCTGATCATTTTAATGAATTTGCAATGTAAACATTATAATAAGTATGTAAATGAATTCATTCAATCAATTCATGTTATTAATGGTCAAGCTTAAAATACCTCAATTAAATTTAATGCAAAATGTGTCACTATTCACCAAGGGCTCCTTGAAAAAAAAGACCCCTGATTTAGAGCTTTACCTCCCTCTAATGGTGAAAGGGCAGAAATGCACTTCTCTTTCAAAATAATACATGAAATATGCAAGAACTCTTCTTTGTTTTCACCTGCCAAACTTTCTATGCTTCAAACTTTCTATATATATATATTTTTTTCCATATTTTGCTTATAATTTCCTCCCTGTGCTTTTGCCGCTTGCAACTATAAGCATGACAGCATGCCATCTGCTGTGACATGAACAGGCATGCTTGCTTTCATGGATTGTGTTTCTTTTCTGTCATGCATCCTTTCTTTTGCTTCGACATTAAGTGTATGAGAGTGTAAAAAGAGTGAGAGATTAATCTTTGTAATAAAACTGATTGAATGAGTCTTGTTTTTTGTTTTTGTTTCTTTAATATCCTACTATGTTGTATATTAATGACTATTAATAACAAAATAACTATTAATATCCATAGTTCACCCAAAATGCTAATTAATAGTTTTTCATTATTATTTAAATGCTATTATATTATTTAATAATATTTTGAATTAGATGTTTCTGAGTAATTCTGTTGTATGTTTGTCTTGAGTTTTTATATATATTATATATATATATATAGCTTCAATTTAACTTTTACTAGTTTTAGTACTTTAACAGACTTATTTTGTTTGTTTATTGTCAAGACAACATTTTTTTGTATGGTTTTCATTAAATATTAATATTTTATTTCAGCTTTAACAAAAACAATTTTTAATAGTTTTAGTTTAAGTAAACAATAGCAGCTTTGTAATTAATCCATAGTTGTTTTTTCATGGAACACCAAAGGAGCTTGGCAGCCGCTGTCATATTATTATTATTATACATTTTGAAAGTCCCAAGTAAATGACAGAATATTCATTATTATGTGATCTATTCCTTTAATGCTGAAAAACAAACTGATTACGACAGCATCCACCTACACAAATGTTGCATGAAAAGATAAGTGACTCACAACTTTTGAGGCCACACTAACATAAAGCCATTATGGCAGTATGTTGCTGCTAGACTCAATACAAATGATGTCGTTTAACAGTATGCTTTATCAAAAAAAAAAAAAAAAAAAAAATAGGGGACACTCCCACACATGGCCCCTCTCTGTCATCTCTTCATTGTAGAATACGCAATCCAGCCCCGTCAATCTTCTTCAGAAACACGCACACTCCAGTTGTGGGCAGATAATTTGCTGATAATTTCACTCCACCCATTTGCATTAAGAGGTCCATTGTTAGACAACCAGTCATACTATTGAATGGTCGTGCAACATTCTTTCATTTTCCCCTGAGACGAGAGAAATCTACTATTTACCTTTTTCACTTCCTCCTACAATGACGCAAAAATCGTCATTTGACGTCATTGTAGGAGGAAGTGTAAAAAAGGGGGGATTTCTGTATAGACTACAAGCACAAATTCCCACCCTTTCAAACCCGCCCATAGGGGGTTGTGCCTAATGCGCTAACAGAGCTATCACAGATCAGTGGGTGGGACTTCACTTGCAGATACTGAAAGCAATATCAGCCATCTTGTTTATAAGCTAAGCTAACAAGCGCTGTGGATATAGGAAGTTACGACAATGACGGAAGAAACTAAACATGATATGGAAGTAGAGGATTTTGAAATTCTGCTGCTCGAATCCGCTCTTCGTGGCTATCTTTACGAGCCGCAATATAGTGAAGAGCAGCTGAGGCTGATGGAGGATCAGGAGGCGGCTGCCTGTCGCGAACGAGGAGCCCGGACTGGGTCGAGCTGAGGCGGGCTGCTGGTGCGTGTGCTCTCGCTGTGCGCTACGGACACAGATAGAGTCCGTCTGCTGCAGAGAATTTCAACGATCGCAATTTCTCCTAGACGAAATCTCTGAATCAGACGACCACACGGACGTTTGTGTTGTGATGTGAACCATCCTAGTTTCGCCTGACTGAAAATCCAGGTATCATGCAATAATTCACCATATAGAAAGAAATACAAACGAGTAATTCACTAATGAGTTTGCCAATGTAACGGGGTTCGTTGTTGTGGGAAGAAGGAGGCTGGAACCGGCGAACATTTAAACATTTTAATAGTAAAATAAACAAATACAAAACAAAAGTATAAGCCAGCTGGCCACACACAACAGAAACAAAACATAAAATCAGGCCTGTTCCTTTTGTGCTTCCGCTCCTCCGTGAGAGATATGAGACCGCTGCACAGGTGCCATTCATTATCACTCGCGTCGTCCTCTCACGTCCCTCGCCCTCGTCCTGCTCGCCACAGCCAACTAACTAGACATTTTTTGTGAAATGAATTTCAAACTCATTCAGCAGCTAGCCTTCTTGTAGATGGAAAAGTGATTTCTCTGATGTTTGTGCTGTTCTGGATTAGTGGGAGTGGCTTGCGGAGCTGTGCAACGTGGTGCATTGTGGGAGTTGTTGTCTTACATACAAATGCGCCCTAAAGTTATTTTCTGTCTTTTCTCGGTCAAGAGGGCACCAAATTCAAAATTTCTTTTACATTTCGACTACATATATAACCCACTTTCAATAAAGATTAATGTTGAAATGGGTGGAGTGACCCTTTAAGAGGCTTTTAAGAAGGCTGGTGGTGTGCTTGAAACACTCTTATATAATCAATCTTGGGGATTATATAAATGGGGATAGCTTGTTTTATGAGGACAAATGTCTTTATAGCTTGAGTTATTAAGATTACCCTTTTACTTAAACTGCCCGTGCACAATAGATGAGTCAGTGAGGAGGTGGAGCACTGCTGATGGGTCTCAGAGGGAGCTGGTGTGCATCAGCTGTCCATTAACTTCTATTTGGTTGGGAGGATAGAACTGAGCAGCTAAATCAATGTCTTTTCTCTCATCCTCCCAACAGCATTACAGATCCAGATGGAGAAACTGGGTCAAACCGCATAGTGCCCGACACGCACATTTTGTGGAGATCACACTCTGCGAACTCTGAGAATATTTTACGATTGTCCGAAGTGGCCAGCAAGACAAGAAACATAGATCAACATCTCGACGGAGTCTTCTGAAAGTGAACGGAGGATGTACTATTAAACACTTTTCAGGAAAAATATATAATATTCTATAAGTCTAAACCGCTTAACATTTTGTGCCTCTGTCAGTTTCTTTTATTCATAATGGTGCTTTCAAAGAAATACAACACACACAGATATCTGCTGCAAATGACACTGACTGTTTGAAACGTCCAAAAAGGAAGATATTGTTGTCATTTATGTCACAGTCTGAAGCTTCCTTTCGAATGTGTTCTCCTTGTTGAGCAAAACCCAGAATGACAGTCAAACCTCATGATGTGCATGTGTATGTGACAGCTGTTTGGGACACCTCTATTATCTGTGCTAATGAATGAATCTTTCCGTTGTGTTTTTGTAGGGATTTTTTTCATTAGATGTCCATGTCAAAGTCATCTTAGTGAGCCCTTATTCGCTGTTAATAAGGGCTAATTTTTTTTATTTTTTTTTTATTTTTTTTTTTAGATACTTAGATATCTTTCAATGTTAATTAAATATTTGACATTTCTGATATTTTTGTCATATAGTGAAAGTGAATGGGTACCAGGGATAGTCTTAGTCTCTATTCGTTCTCATTATGGAAAAGAGCAGCTTGGACAATCTGCTAAATATCTAAATATCTACTTTTGTGTTTCACGGAGTCATACAGGGTTATTGTAACAACATGCGGGTGAGTGAATGATGATGGTCCCGTTTATGAAATAGCCTATCTGATAAATATTTTTGATGCATAAACACCCTATAAAGTTGTTTTTGGTCCCCCTGTAGTTTTGCAAAAGAATAAAGCGAAAAAAATAAATAATAAAATACTAAATCAGATTAAAGCTGATCCTTTAATACACTGAGCCTCTGTATTTAATTCTGTTCACCGGCGAAACTGTCTGATAACAGTCGTCTAGTGTGAGCTTTTTTGCCAGAGCATTGGGGATTGTGTGCAAATATATTTTTTAGGTATATTCTCCTTTCCCTATATGTGTCTATATGTGTTTGAGCTTGAGCTTGTCATGTCTGTCAGTGGAGTTACTGTGCTGCCATTGGTCGATTCCCACGCATTCAATCACAGCTGTAGCTTCTGTCAAATACATGCACTCAAAGGACGAAACGAGACCTTCACTGTTAAACCAGCCGACCTCAAAGCTCCATGACAGTAAGTATTTACATTTCAAACTTTTGTATTGATATGGAATACACATTACTGTAGTGTAACTCATCTGTCTGGATGGGTCGTGTCATTGTGCACCTGCGTCTGGTGAGAAACATTTTTATGCATCTTCAACAGAGTTTAAAAAAGGCTCAGATGTACACTTTGGAGTTTTGGCGAATTTGTGCATTGTAGTGGGAAGGTCTTCAGTAGAAAAGACGGAGGAGAGAGAGATGATGCCTTTTTTGGTGTTACATTTGCAATTTGCTGGAGTGTGCTCATGCTGTTTTTCTGTCAATTGTGTGGGTTGGTAGCAAAAACAGAAAAGATGGGGGAAAACATGCAGAGACTGAGCCAGTAACACAGGCAGCATACAGACAGAATATCCTCAAACAAACTTTTGTTATTTTTACTATGATGCTCTGCAAGCAGATTTGAATTGCTTATTCTGAAGAAAATTAATAGAGTTTGCATCACATGTGATATTATTACAATAGAACAGATGTGGCAGTTGAGGAATACAGAATTCTGGGTTATTCCTGGAAAAACATAATGATACATGAGGATTGGTTTGGCTTAGAGTCTAAGTGGAGGATGAGAGGATGAGTTTTGTAGATAATAAATATAGAATATCAACATTTGTGAGATTTAGTCAGTCTAAACAGTTTTGATGTTAACTCATCTAATTCTGTGTCTCTGGAAAATATTATGTTGAGTTTTTTGTGTCTATTTGTTAATGAGAAATTTGTGGACACATCGTTGTTTTTTTATTTTTATTTGTATGAGTAAAAGTTATAGTTTTTATTTTGGAGTATAAAATATAAAATTAGACCCTTGGGGTAAGATGACCCCCTCCCCCAGAATTGGTGCAAAGTTGTTACTAGTGTAAATTGACTAATTATTGTAATTAATTGTTTATTGTTATTTAGTATTTCTATAAATTAGATGTACATATCAGACATATTTGCTTTTGTAACCTATAGGTTAGTTGACTGAAATCATTAAATATGCATTCATAGTCAAAACACTATTTATTTAAACACTGAGAGAACAACAGGAGCTTAAGAAGATACTTGAACACAAACAATACCGGACAGGGAACTTACTCAAACTGAGGACTTAAATACACAGAGCAAACAAAGGAAACTAGATGGCACAGAGGTGCGTGACAAATCAAATCAGTAACTATGACAACCAATAAGGAGCAGAAGCATTGGGAAATTAGGTAAACAAACAGGCAACATAACATAAGAGAATATAATCGTTACATATACAAGTCAGAGAATAATTTTACCTTTCAGATAAATCTCTTTTACTCCAATTCTGCTGTGTCTGTCATCGGTTATTAAATTATTATCATTATTAACCAAATTTTCAGAATAAAATTTTAAATACAATAGTTGATTTAGTATTTTACATTAATGACACTTTAAACAATATGTAAATATTAATAAGAATCATATACAAAGTTATTTATACATTCTGCAAAAGTGTATCCAGGGGGGCTTGAGAGGGAGGGGTGGGGGGGTGTCAACTTTCCCCCAGTGCCATATTACCCTTTTTTATGTTTTACATTTTGCGCTATAACAACTAAATAAGTAAATGTTTCTATTTATTTCCTAATAGCATTGGCTGATGCATCATCATCCTGCACATGCTAAAGTTATCTAAATATGTTACAGTTTAAAAGTAGGCTAAATCCATATTGTTGTTAAGACCATATGGTCTTCCCCCCATCCTACCCATATATATAAAAGAAGAGTCCAAGAGTGACCTTGCTTAGAATATGGACTGCATGTTCAAAAATCGCGTGGGCACAACCAAGCGTTCAATAGTTGGTTGAGAAAGTGTGGGCGCCCAGAGGGACAGAGCGGCTCCGTTTCAGTGCAACCAGTGCTGGCGGGGCTCGTGCATTCAGTTGCTGTCAATATCTTTATCTGCTCTATTTCACATTGACAATTGCTGACGGATCGATAGGTCTGAACAGGAATTTGTCGCGAGCTTGATTTTCCCTCATCGAGTTCAACCTATGAATTACTCGCGACGCGTCGCCATTTGGTTACTCGCGTTATCAGTGCAAATTATTCAGGCATGTGCGTATTGCGGTAGATTGGAGATGATATCCGTTTGGCTCCTCTTTTTAAAGCTGCTGGTAGGTATCAAAATATTGAAGCTTTGTGCATCTGTTGCATCCGTATGCTTTGGTGAACATCTGCATGCGCAAGGCACGACGAGCGAGTGATGCAGGAATTCTGTGTGCTGCATTTGTACTGTCGTGCTTGGAAGAGTGTCCAGTGTATTTAAAAAGAGTTATGATGCTGCTGTCTATATCCGAAATCTCTATGACTCATCGGTATAAATTCCTTATCTGCTTGTAATGTCAACACTGCAGTGATATAGTAGAATATACCCATTTACCAGAGAAGTTTGACTTAAAGGGATAAATCACCTTCACCACAAAAAGCAAATCCATATACGTTCTGTGGAAAACAAAATGAGATCCATCACCATTCACTTTCATTGGATGGAAACAAGATGCAATGAAAGTAAATGGTGACAGAGGGTGTTAGTCCCTAACACATCTTAATTTTGGGGGGATATTTCCCTTTAATGCAACAGTCACACTTATTGGATAATAACTGATGACATCATTTTGCTATCTGCAGAATTCCACCTCTGGCAAAGTGGATGCGATGTTCAGACATTAGAAATCAATTTTCCAAAACAGACAGGGGTTAATGGTGGTCACAGCACCAGCAGGCATGCATAAAAGAACATCATATCCGCTCGATATGAGCAATAGATTTGTTTCTCTGTCTCTCTTACTGGATAAGCTCAGGCTGATTGCTCTAATAAACCAACTGCATCATGGCACTTTGATAAGGTTGTCTCTGACTAGTGAGCTGCATATACATGGCTCTTACTGTATAATAAACAAGACAGCCTTCTCAGATGGAGCATGTTGCCAGGCAACCACTACTTTTTGGGACAAAAACACAGAACAGACCCTCTGAAGTCATATCTTGCAAATAAATGATGACTATGACAGTATTAAATGAAATGGCATTTTGATCATCCACATAATGTAAGCTCCTCTCAGTTTATGTTGCATGAGTGTGAGCACTGAAGCAGCACAAAGAAGGGAAATGATAAATGATTAAGTGATACATTTGAAGGAAATATGAATTATTGTAGATTGTAACTGAGTGCAGTCATCCGATTAGCTTTTGGATTTATACTTTCAAGAAAGTAGTGTACTTTGTCAGTAGTTTTAGCATTCTCTTTAAGCTTAGAAGGTTTTGTGATCACAACTTGAATTAACTCATTGGCCAACCCGAGTTTATTTAAAATGACATACTTAAAATTAAAGCAGAGGTCACATATTTTCTCTGAGGCTATACTAAAACATCCTTTAATGTAGATTTTCAGCCCACTTCGTAATTGCCTGCTTTGTTAGAAACCACTTCTCATGGTTCTTTGGTATCAAAGAGGTCCACCCACCCACTCCTCACAGCATGGATGCCAGAATAGCTTGATGAAACTAAAGTGACACTGTGCAATTCTGCAGAAAACAGCACAAGGCTGGTTGTCTATGTTAATTGGATCTGAGACTTTTCAAGGACCAAGACTAAGAGAAAACAAATGTTGGCGTTTGTCATGTTTTGAGTCTTTCTAAGCTTGGTATCTTTAATTCTAAACATATCTGTTGCAATGTAACTTTCTTAGAGAGCCACAGCTGGTGTGGGAAGGTCATATGGAAGTGAACTAAATGAAGGCAAAAGCACCTCTGTAAATCAGCAACAAAAAGAGCAGAAATACCTCTCTGAAAAAGTCACCATGGAGACCAGCCAGCTTTCAGAAATGGCTGATCTACCAGACTGTAAAATGGATCCTGGGTGTACAGAGGACCAGACATGCCAATTCACTGAGGAGGTAAATGAATGTTTTGACACATATTTCTCAGAGTGCCTGGATACCAGAAAGAGCAACCCCCATGAAGACCTCGATGGGCAAAACGACAAAGGCATAACCAATGCAAGTGAGAGCTCAGGTGAATCTGATGGGAGCAAAGAATCTCAAGATAGCGTTATGGTCAACAAACAAGAACTGCCGAATGGTAGAGAATCTTTGACCTCTGATTCTCACGAAGACCCGCACACAAATGACCAACCAGAAGAGGAAATGGAAATCAACAATTCTGATGATGCCCAGGAGGAGGAGCACAATGAACCTGAGGAGAGGGTGGAGGCAGAAGAAGAATCTGTGCTGGAGCAGCAAATGAACGAGCTGGTGATTTCTGAAGTCCAGACTGAAACTTGCCCGGATGTGGATCGAGATGACCTGAGTGACTGTCTGCTTGTGGAAATGGCCATCATTTCATCAGACAGTGATGCTGAGGAGCCATGGAGATCTTCAGTTCCACCAGCTGTCAACAAAGAGGAGATTGAAGAGAACGGTGATCTCTTGGGTATGGATGAAGCAGAGGTAATCCCGGAAGACCAAGCAAGGCAGGAAGAAGTTGAAGTGATTGATAGCAATGCTGAACCTGAAGATGAAGCCCTGGCTTTGAACCTTAATGCAACTGAAATTCTAGAACAACCAGAGTGTCCCACCGAATGTGAGCTGCAAGATATTTCTTTGGACTCCTCTGTCCATTACTGCAGCTTAACAAAGATTGCAGAGGACGAAGATGAGCTTGGGAAAACCTCAAAGCACAACCTGCAGCGCCTGTCTTGTTCAACTTCAGAGCTCGACAAGAAGTTGCCGCAGGACTTCTGCGTGGTTCAGGAAATAAAGAGCGAGAATGTCAGCACAGAGCATCTGGATTTCAGGGTTGCACGCAAGCAATGGCAGAAGATGGAAGAGCAGACCAAGGGTCTGGTGCACCGGCCAGTGATGAAGCAGGGATCTTGCCAGGGTGGGCACAGCTTCATGTATACACCTGTCCGCAACATTGATCGCCCTAGAAGAGACCCTGACATCGAGAGTCTTGGTCTGGGGGAGTACCAGTACACTCAATTCAGCCCCTGTTCAGAGGATTCTGGTCTGGATGACACAAGCTACAGGTCACCTTACGATGAGCCAGAGACTCCAGTGGAGCGGGAGATCCGTGAAGCTCTCGAGCGAGAGGAGAATTTCAGACGAGAGAGGGCAATGGCAAAGATATCTGCAGGTGACGCTACACAAGTTCAACCCAGGCCTAGTGTTCTTCACCACAGCAGATCAGAGCCTGGGGAGAAAGGACGGATGTGTGACACACCGGAAGACAGATGCAGGTCTCAGAGGTCCCCTAGTGCAAGAACTCCAACTTTGTCCGTCACTGCATCTTCTGGAAGAAATCCCACATACCATGAAATGACCGCCAGCAATGTCATTATACTTGAGCCGGATTCGTACCCCACAAGTCCACGGAATCGAGGGAAAGGTGGGCTGCTCTCTCCAGGGACCAGCAGTTTCCAAGAATGGCCAGACATGAACAACGTGATAATCCTGGAGACATCAAATCTCATAATTCGAAGTGCCTCGGAATTCTGCCTGAGCACTGCATGTCAAGAGACACAAGAGAGCACGTTTCAGAACAATCCCTTCTTCAAACTGCGCTCTCACAGCACCCAGTCTCTGGTGGATCAGGAGATCAAGTTGGTGAAGCAAAGAGAAGAGGAGCTTAGGAGGCAGAGAGCACAACTATATGTAAAGGAGAGATATGACACAGTCCTCGTGTCCCCCAGCCAACTGCAGAATTTCACTTATGAGAGACCAGGTAGCACATTTTGCAACTAGTAAAGTATTTACTTCGTTGATGTTATTACACAAATATGTAGTTAAGCAAACGTCATTCTTTTATTTGGACACTTTACAGGAGAAGTACCAGCAAAATCCAAGTCATCCCCCTCATCTCCATCGAAGACGCGCAAAATGGATCGCTCCGCTTTTTCCTGCGACCACAAGGTACATTCAATTTAGACATGCTGATTCAAAGTTGCAGATTTTAAACTGTACGTATTTTTTCTGTTTGTCCTATCATGAATCATATATAAGTGTTTTACTGAATTACATTGCAAAGCAACTGTTTTTCATCTGTTTCACATCTCATTGATCTGTGCCCATTTCACCTTGAAACTGGAAACTGCATGCAGTTTTACAGGTGAAGTTTTCTCCTTTAGTTCCTTGAAGCTCCTTTCCCTCGAGTCAGACGAAAAAGTGCCCTGGCCCAGAGGTGGGAGGCAGGTATCTTTGCCAATCATCAGCAACAAGACTGAATGATTTGCCTAAATGAAGCACCGACGCACAAATCAAGTTTCCATTACAGTATACGCATGTAGAAATAGATTCAGAGTAAAACAGTCATTAGTACAAACCTGGAACTTAATAGGTGAGTAAAAATATTCAGAACTGATGTCATACCTTTTTTAATTTTTGGATGCGAATAGTACTATTTTCATTCTGAATTTTATCCTGGGTACACTTTTATATTACTGCAGATGTAAAATGTATACAGTAATGCATTCCTAAATTGCACTATGTACAAAAATAACACCAAACACTGAGAAATATATTATTCTGATTTCACATAACATACATTGTTTAAAAGAAACACTAATTTTGAGTCTTAACAATTCAGTTTCTTGTTTATAAGATATTTTGTCACTTTAGCCATACAGTGGAGAGCAGAAGTAAATAAAAAATACATTTATTATTGATTTAATCTGATTAAAAGTGCAATTTAAGACAAGAGAAACAGCTTCTTGGAATGTCTATTATAGAGTATTATGGATGTAGCTTCCAGAGGTGTTACAGATAAGTAGCTGGCTTCTGTACAATTATTACATTGTGAGCCTTTTAAATATTTTATGCTTTGATTGCGTGCTTATAATGTCAACATTTATTCCTGTGTGAAAATAATAATTGAAAATATGTGTGAATTTCACGTCATAATATTCATGTTTGAAATGGCATCTTAAACGATATGTTTTTTCCTTGCAGGATGTTTTCAATGCAAAAATACTGTTCAAACCTTGCAATAAAATGAAATGACAACTGATTTGTTCTGCTGTATAAATAATTGTAGGCCTTCATCCCAGTTTATGTCCTGAAAAGCTGCCATGTGATTGATATGTTGGTTATACGTTCCCTATGGAGACGAGCATTGAGATACAGAAAGCTGAGTTTCCGAGCACAAACACAGCAAGGACAGCCACTCTAAACTTGGTATCCTGTGGAAGCAGAAAGAAGGGCATTTAGATGCTTAGATGAACACTATGTAAGGTTGTTTTTGAGCCTAATAATTTGACTAAGTTTTTGTTGTGCCTATTGCAATACACACTGATTTCTTTTATTATTTATTAAGTTTTTCTTTTTTTTAAATCTCCACCTTTAAGTCTGAGTAAAGTAAACTTACCCAGTTTACTTTCCCTGAAAAGTCTGAGATAACTGGAAGTTCTTCTTCATTGACACTTGCTGTTGAAACAAGAAAAATGACTAAATATATAATGTTACATATCTTTGAAAACATATTTTGCTTCATTTCACTCTCAGTTGGAATCATCTTCAAATGTATGTCTGAACCACGGGAAGAGGGAACGTCACTGAACAGGTACTGTGTACTTCCAAATCAATCAGACTTTTGCTTTTGCACAGTCTTTCAGAGGTGTTTAATGTAAAAATGATTTATACAAACCTTTTCTAATAACATCATGCTTATGAAGTTTTAACACAAGCTTTAACACAATGGTCCAAACCACAAAAGCAGAGAGAACCCCTGTGGTCCATGGGTAAGGTAGCAAAAGAGACTGTTGCTTTGTTCCAAAAAATATGGAAATCACTGCAAAAAAAAAAAAAAAAATTTTTTATTAATTATTACTGATAGAAATGGATTTATTTGAGATACATTTTCTAAACAACAAAATCCCAAAGAGCGGAATTCACCGGCAATAATTTCAGCAGCATTTCCAACACCCCAGTGCAACCATTTGAATATCCATCTCCTGGGAAAATGAAATGATTATCCTGGTGTTATTCTACTCACTTCATTATGTTTTTCAATTCAGATATGTAAGCAGAAGATGTAAATATGAGTTCATTGATGAGTCATTACCTTGAGGAGTCTGGAGCTGGTCTGAATGCAGCCATTATAGGCTGACAGAAAGTGAGAATCATAACTGTGCAGCCTAGGTAAGGATGAGCACCTGCTCTCTGCAAAGACATTTGGTAGTAGGATTGTTAACTAAAACCAAAACTATTTTCAGAAGATTAAATAAATCTGAAATAAATGAAAATCTAAATATTAGATGAAAAAAATTCAATTCAATTAAATTAGAAATAGTCTCATTTGCTACATGAACTAACAATGAACAATATATATTTTACAGCATATATTAACCGTTGTTAATGTTCATTAATACAAATGTTCAAATTCATGTTAGTTCACAGTGTACTAAGTATTGTTAAAAGATACAACTTTTGATCTTAAAAATGTATTAATAAATTACTATAATAAATGAATAAATGCTGGATTAATAAATGCTTTAAAGGTATTGTTCATTGTTAGTTAATGTTAACTACTGTAGTTAACTAATCTAAACAAGTGAAACCTTATTGTAAAGTGTTACTCTTAAACTAAACTTGAAATAAAATCTGAAAACAAAAATAAAAGTTAATTAAAAATATTAATAAATACCACTTTCCACCTAAACACATATTATAGACAATACAACATAGGCTACAATATAACACCACACCATAATTATAAGACACTCTCTAAATAAAATAGGACGCCCCCTATTGGCAAAGAGCGTAACTGTGGCATTTAATACATTGAATTTTGTCTGTTTAAAATATGTATTGCATTTTATTGCAAAACATTGTCTAGGGAGAGAGCACAGGCTTTACTCACTGTGCTCCATTTTCCTCGGTAGATAAAAGGAAAAATGAAGCCCACTGCTGTGAGCAAAACTGTAAGGGACATCAACATGCGATGCACCTGTAAACACAGAAAATGAAAAATATATGCAGTTAGGAAAAGCTGATTACAAGTGAAATGTGCAGAAAACTGAAAAGTATTAAAGCACTAATAAGTAATAAGCAGCAAGCAATAGCTTGTTTCATAGATTTTGTTTGCAATAGAAGCATAAATGGCCTGTATAAAAACATAATTCATACCTGGAACCATATTTTTTGCCCAAACAATGTTCGTTCTGGCCAATCAGGTTTAAAATAGCCAGTGATTAATGTTCCAGTGCTTCCTGCTAGCATCCAGGCAATCAGCATTAGAGCTCCTGCATGCATGTACATTTGGAATTATATTTGTAAACTTGCAAATGACAGCGTTTTGCAATTTACACCAATAACATGTAGTAGTTTATCGAATTACCAAATTGCCATGCTTTTATTCCACAGCAGTTACAATACACTTTTCAATGGCACAATGATGATAATTGCACTTGCAACATTTCCTTTTCCTGACCATATATTTAACCATTCATGGAAGTCTCAGTATCCTGCAGTAAACTTAATTGCAGCAAAACACTTACCATGACATTTCATGAGCAGTGGAGATCGAGAACCTGTCAGTATCTCAGGAGGACCGGTTATGATCTGATGGTGGGACGATATCAGTGGCTGCCACGTGTGTCTATGGATCATACCTGCAGCACAACAAAACAACAATAAAACTGATGAGATAACTTGGATAAAGCATAATCTCACACCATTTCTATCAATAAAAAATGTGATTTATTATACAATAAAGATATAAAAAAATGTATCTAAAATGTGAGACAATTGCTGTGTAAATTGTAGGACATCACCTGGTCAAAGTGTTTTAAGAAATGCACGTGTGCTCGTTTCCTTGTAAACGTTTAAATCAGAGTTTAGCAAACCAGCTGTAACTATTTTATTCCCTGTGCACCCAATGACCCTGCCATAAAATAAATGAAAGGAAATGAGTACTGACTGCTCAGGCCTTCACAGACACTTGTTAACAAGGTCAGAAATCCGGATCTGTGGAGTAACACGCAGTGGGGAGGCCATAAAAACAAAGTTATATGTGACACTGTATCTGATGAGATGCATGATCATTGCCAAAAGGAGAAATACAGCCCTGAAAGACGTGATGACCGGAACGACAATTCCTGCTATTTCATCATCCTGTAAATGTAGCAGTTAAAAAAACACACATAAGACAAAAATTAAATCTACAGTAGCTTATCTATTCTGTTATATGTCATCAGTGTTATTTTAGTATAATATATATATGTGTGTGATGCGATCTGGGAAAACCCGTCGGATGTCGCGCTGGTACGTTTTCAGTAAGGTCTAAAAATAGATATGTCAGTTTTTTGTCAAAATTGGGGTTTCATTAAATTATTATTCTATAACATCTTGTCTATCCTCTCTGAATATATCTTGGGAAAATTTACAAGTTTAGTGCAGAAAAATTGCAATTTATAGTGGCAAGCTGAAAAGACTGTCTTTGTCTTTAAGAACACGCACGGAGAAAAACAAATCGTCATTTTAATCAATGAAAGAAATAAAAACAGACTTGGAAAACAGATTATCAAAACCTGTAATAGGCTATGTCAAATTTCACCATGTGGTGGGTTTTCCCAGATCGCATCACACACACACACACACACACACACACACACACACACACACACACACACACACACACACACACACACACACACACACACATATACAGGTCCTTCTCAAAAAATTAGCATATTGTGACAAAGTTCATTATTTTCCATAATGTAATGATAAAAATTAAACTTTCATATATTTTAGATTCATTGCACACCAACTGAAATATTTCAGGTCTTTTATTGTTTTAATACTGATGATTTTGGCATACAGCTCATGAAAACCCCAAATTCCTGTCTCAAAAAATTAGCATATCATGAAAAGGGTCTCTAAACGAGCTATTAACCTAATCATCTGAATCAAATAATTAACTCTAAACACCTGCAAAAGATTCCTGAGGCTTTTAAAAACTCCCAGCCTGTTTCATTACTCAAAACCGCAATCATGAGTAAGACTGCCGACCTGACTGCTGTCCAGAAGGCCATCATTGACACCCTCAAGCAAGAGGGTAAGACACAGAAAGAAATTTCTGAACAAATAGGCTGTTCCCAGAGTGCTGTATCAAGGCACCTCAGAGGGAAGTCTGTGGGAAGGAAAAAGTGTGGCAAAAAACGCTGCACAACGAGAAGAGGTGACCGGACCCTGAGGAAGATTGTGGAGAAGGACCGATTCCAGACCTTGGGGGACCTGCGGAAGCAGTGGACTGAGTCTGGAGTAGAAACATCCAGAGCCACCGTGCACAGGCGTGTGCAGGAAACGGGCTACAGGTGCCGCCCCAGGTCAAGCCACTTTTGAACCAGAAACAGCGGCAGAAGCGCCTGACCTGGGCTACAGAGAAGCAGCACTGGACTGTTGCTCAGTTTTGCATGTCATTCGGAAACCAAGGTGCCAGAGTCTGGAGGAAGACTGGGGAGAAGGAAATGCCAAAATGCCTGAAGTCCAGTGTCAAGTACCCACAGTCAGTGATGGTCTGGGGTGCCATGTCAGCTGCTGGTGTTGGTGCACTGTGTTTTATCAAGGGCAGGGTCAATGCAGCTAGCTATCAGGAGATTTTGGAGCACTTCATGCTTCCATCTGCTGAAAAGCTTTATGGAGATGAAGATTTCATTTTTCAGCACGACCTGGCACCTGCTCACAGTGCCAAAACCACTGGTAAATGGTTTACTGACCATGGTATTACTGTGCTCAATTGGCCTGCCAACTTTCCTGACCTGAACCCCATAGAGAATCTGTGGGATATTGTGAAGAAAAGTTGAGAGACGCAAGACCCAACACTCTGGATGAGCTTAAGGCCGCTATCGAAGCATCCTGGGCCCCCATAACACCTCAGCAGTGCCACAGGCTGATTGCCTCCATGCCACGCCGCATTGAAGCAGTCATTTCTGCAAAAGGATTCCCGACCAAGTATTGACTATTGAGTGCATAACTGAACATAATTATTTGAAGGTTTATTTACATAAATTTACATAATTGTTTTTTTTTGTATTAAAAACACTTCTTTTATTGGTCGGATGAAATATGCTGATTTTTTAGACAGGAATTTTGGGTTTTCATGAGCTGTATGCCAAAATCGTCAGTATTAAAACAATAAAAGACCTGAAATATGTCAGTTGGTGTGCAATGAATCTAAAATATATGAAAGTTTAATTTTTATCATTATATTATGGAAAATAATGAACTTTATCACAATATGCTAATTTTTTTAGAAGGACCTGTATATCAACTTTCATTTCCATTTTAGTATTATATTATTACATTCAATTATAAATTATAAATGAAATTATAATATATATATATTCTTTCATTTTAATTTTAATTTAAGTTTTAGTGCTTTTGTTATGTGCTTTTGTCATTTGATTAGGTTTTTTAGATTTCTATTTAGATTTTTATTTTTTTACTTCATTTTTTTTATTTCAGTTTTATTTAGTCATTTAAGTACTTCAACTTCATCTTATTTTATTTTATTTAGTTGCCAAGGCAGTGGTTTCAATTTTTTTATTTTTAAGTTTAAGTGTTTCATCTAATATATATATATATTTAGCTTTATTTCAATTAGTGAAAAACATTTTTTAGAGCTTTAATTGACAATAACAACAATCTATGTCATTGATGCAGTTAAAAAAGCTCACCATTTTCCGCAGTGCCGTGTGCTACGAACAGGTAGTAACTGTTGTTAAGACTGAATCGGACCGGATCCTGAGGGGTGTAGATGGATCTAGAGAACTTGCACTGAATGACCCCATCGGAAACTCTCCAGCCTACATCAGTCAGCACAGACTGCAGAGGAAGTAAAAATCCAGCTGATTACATTTATGACTGAGACTGCATAAAGTTTAGAGCACACATTGTCATCTTTTTGGACTATAATGTTTTTATGGTTTTAAAATGATGTTGTAACATACTGAAAACTAAAAGCAGCATTACAATCCTAAAGTGCTCTCTCACCTGGGATGCCTCCTCTGGGTATGTCCTTCCTGTTGTGTATGCAGACTCAACGCTTACACGACCCCCGTCATTTACGCACAAGTACGCATCATCATCTCCCTAGAAAAACAATAAGATCTTCAGGGTCACATGAATGTAATATATCTAAAGTCAGTTCAACTTCATTATAATGCACTGAATGCAATTTTAGGACTACAATTTGAAATGCATTTGATCATGCTTACCATCCATTCATCCTTGGAGAGGGCAAAGGAGACGTATCCCTGTGCAGGGCCGCTGAGCTCAAACGAAACTTTTTGACCCAAAGTAGAAAAAGAAAGGAAGAAGCAGTTTGTGTCCATAGAAGGGTTACAGCCGACAGGGTCAATAAGACAAGACTTCCACCTGCCACATCCCTCTGGAGTGAACTGTAAGAGAAGTGGCATCATGCAGGTTTTTTACAATATAAGACTGTAAAGCAGCTTATACGAGCAGATTATCTTTAGTATTTTGGCACGTACTGGCTCAGGTAGTATAGAGGTGCTTGCAGAGTTTGTAGACATGACGGTGGTAGATTGACGTGGAGCGGGAGTCACGTCACCCTGAGATATGACCGGACCAGGAAGTTTGAGCCAGAATGTCTTGTAGTGGGCAAGAACTGTGGCACTTGATGTAAAAAAAAAAAAAAAAAATTTTTAAATGTGAATATATCAGAAATATTGGTTTGAAAAGAGCCAATACACTGAGTGACCTGTTTATGAGTATTTTCAACATTGAATGACAAAGTCAGATCAGAAACACACTCACAGAAACTGAACAGTGGGAGGGGCATTCGACGGGGCTTTCCAGATCACCTGAATTTCTGTCTTTTTGGCATTACTGGTGTGACTAACGGCAGAGCCCTTTAAAAGACATCATACTTTTATTGTACGTCAACTCTTTAACATTAAAAGCAGATTTTGAGACATATTTCAACATACTTTGTAATACCAAATAATTCATGGTAAGTGATTTATACAACAGCAGGGCTGTGATCAACCAACCAAATGATATTTAGTATAATAGAACTTTTGCTCTTGTGATATTTTTAAATAGTACCAGTTAAAAGTTTCAAAATGTATTTGAAAAAACTCATGCAAGGCTTAATTTATTTGATAAAAAATATAGTAATATTATATTATATATTGCTGTTATATATTATAAATATAACAGTAATATTGTGAAATATATATATTTTTTAAATAACTATTTTGAATTTTCTATTTTAATATATTTGAATATGTAATTTATTCCTGTGATGGTAAAACTGAATTTTCAGCAGCCATTATGCCGGTTTTCAGTGTCACATGATCAGTCATGTGATCATGTGTCATTGATTTGGTGCTCAAGGAACATTTCTTATTATTATCAATGTGGAAAACATTTGTGCTGATTAATATTTTCGTGAAAACCATGGCCTCCACTATAAAGTACCTCTATGCTGTTGCATGTCAAACGCTGGGAAATCTTGGGATCTACCAATGCGAATGAGCCCACAGCTGATCCATCAGGGTTTGTGGCATCTCGGGCTTGAATTAGAAAGCCTTCAAAGTGCTCACTTCCAGAGAGAGTGACTATGGACAGTGGAAGTGTCAATAAATTAGGGCAACTGGCAAAAGGAAGCAACATGTTTGTTCAATTTTACTCAAAACATCTAAATGGCTAAAAATGATAATCATTGTTTAATGTGTTTTCCCCCTCACCTCTGATGCCCATCCCTGGGCTGAATTTACTGGCATTCACAGTCAGTGTGTATGGACTGGCAGTAGTGTTGGGTTGGCTGTGATGTTCTGGCATCATGCTCTTGCAAGATTTCTCCACCTTTCCATTTTTGTATCCAATTACAGCTGTCAAACACAAAGTCCCAAGGATTGCCAGAGACGTTCGGGGATTCCACATTTCCAGCAGAGGCAAAGTGATCCTCTTCTGTGGATAGATCCTGAGAGGAGTACAACATGGCCATTAGTCCATAGTTTATAACTTGCTCCTTATGATTCATATTACATTATATTAGGGTTCCCACATTTATTAACAAATTCATTTTCAAGAGTTTTTTTTTTTTTTTTTTTTTTGTCATTTGTGATTTCTGTGGAAATTGATTTTCTCTGGGGTGAATTTATATTTGTATGTCAGTTACCAGCCATTGTAATTAATATATATATATATATATATATATATATATATATATATATATATATATATATATATATATATATATATGATAAATGTGTTTTTTTCCCAATATGAAAAAATGTTCTGAACTCACTTTCTCTCATGAAAAAGCCATTATAATTTGCTGCCCAATTTATTAAATTTTCCATGACTTTTCTATTCAGTTAAACAATGACGATATAGTATGTGTGTGAAAATAAAGATGTTAATAAAAAGTTATTGAAGGTTTTCAAAAGAAAGCACTGCTCTTACCTTGTCAGCAAACTGTCTGCTCAGGACCAGGTAATGTTGGCAGATTATAGTTTTATGGTTTGAACATGAATGGGCGGGTCATGTCGCATTTTTAAGAGTCTGTAGGCCTGCCACCACATGATGGAGACAAAATCTGAAACAACTAGGTTGTAGCTATGTTTGTTTTCGCTTTTCATATTTGTATTTATTTGTTTATTCATTATTTATTTATTCGTACCTATGAATGTAATGCCAATAAGTGACTAGTAAATATATATATATATCTCATCAATTGCATAAGCATACAATGTGTCTGAAAAAACATTGAATGTAAATGGCAATGTGTCTTATATTAGTGCATTTACGGTAGAGGGAAGCAGAATCGTGCACACGCCTCCTTCACCAGCGACTGGAACGTCCTTAAGCCGAAAACAGGAAAAAAACACTGGTGTGTCTTTTAACCCTACTGCTCTATAACACTGTGTTGCCGTGCAAAACTGATCTAAATGTTTATATCAGTTTAGATTTTAGACTGTCGTGCATCAGAATAGGACAGTATGCATGTTGTAATATGGCTTGGCAAATATTAGCCTAGGCTACTATTGCCCCGATTACTCATTTAAAATAGACTTGTTTGGCCTTTATCCGCTAGATTCTTAACCCCGTCCAGTCTGAGATAGAGGATACTTTTTTGGCCGTGCCATGTTTACTGTAATGATGGGAAGTCAGATACATTTCCGCCAGTCGGTTCTTTCGAACAATTTGTTTCAAAGAACCGGTTTACAAAACGATTCAGTGATTCTTTTTACATCTCGTTGTGGCCTAGTGATTTAGATGAATATAATCTAGTACGTACGTACACATATTGCTGGTTATTATGGATGATTAGAATAATTTTAACAATTATTGTATTTTCATGTGTTATTAGTTTTAGTCAGCTCATAAAACAATTATTTTACAAGCTAAATATGATTTGCATTTACATCAGACAACACTAAAATTAATTCACATCTCTTGGGTGTAGCTAATCAGTTCTGCAATTCGTCTCGCCAAACTTACTTTTCGCCCCATGTCAGAGTCAGATCCTCGGGTCACTCATGTTCTAGTATCCAGTGAACCGGTTCAACCTATCGAAAAGATCCGATTCATATGAACGATTCGTTCACGAATCGGACAATGTTAAACTATCAGAGGTGGTGATGGTGCATAGAGCGTAGATACTAACGTACGGATACAAATCTTGACAATATTGAGGTATTATATTCCGTGTTCCGGCAGAGCTCTGTTTTGGTTGTTGCAATGCTCACTCGTTATCATGTTATATGGCTCTTAGATTGTCATGGTAAAATGTTGCAATAATTTTAAAGGAAACTGTTGCAATTCTGTGTTTTTTCAGAAGCTACGCTACAGGCTTCTGTTAAGGTGAATGAAGTCATCATCTATTGTAATTCAGTGTGTGTGTGATGATTTGCATATCTTTTGGTTCACTTTTCAGTGAATGGGGTCCCGTTGAATTCCTGTTCATCGTTGTATTAAGGACGTTCTAAAATAAGGAGGGCAATCATGACACCAAAACAAACAAGAGTGATGGTCCTCAATGACATGGAGAAACTAGACAGGACCCTGTTCCGTCTGGACCAAGGCAAGTTTCAGCTCACGTTTAACTCTTTGAATTGTCCTGAGGCATGACAGAAGGACTACGGTAGTGTATTCATTGTAGTGTGATAATGGCCAGTAGTCTGTTACGTGCGGAACGTTTGTGCTTATTTATAGACGGTGGTGTTCTCAGGAGCCAACTTTATTAAGTAGGCTACCTATTCATTCATGCACTAATAAAGAGTAAATATAGCAGAGGAGTTTGGCACTGGCTATGATAAATTTGAGAGATGTAATCTGCTCATTGTACGATGAATCCAGTAAACAAATCTTGTTCAGAACTTTTCACTTTTAATCCCATGGATACTCTTATGAAGAGGTTGTCATTTGTATCAATGTATTATGTTCAAATTCATGTGCGTAATTTTCCTCAGATACTGTTAATGCATAATTTCAAAATAGTTGAATATAGTTTGTGTCTAGTTTTTATCTGATTTGCATATGCTAAAGCTGTGAGATAAGCTGCTTTTATTTGCCTTTATATTAATAATAATAATTATATAATTAATATCAATTATAATATATTATGTGATTATTAATAATATTATGAGCCCTATAGATCCTTCATAAGTACATATGTTTTTTTCTGATGCTAACTCTTCTTTTTGGGAGTGTATCATGATAATACAATGCTTATTTTAGAGACTACTATGATGGTAAAACCATGTTACACTTTAAGGAACTTTGAAGTACCATGTAAATATCATAGCATAATAATGAGTATTACAAAGTACCATCATATTGCCATCTGATACTGTTACTATGGTACCACAAGACATTGAAATATATTTGAAAAAAGCAAGCTTGTTAAATACATATATCATGAACAGTTTGTGCCAGGTTCCACCAGTATTTGTATCAATTATTTTTTATTATTTTTTTATTGTAACTCAAAAACCGCAAGATCTGTGTCATGAAGCTTATGTTGTGTTTCTGCTCAGGGTTTGAACTCCAGTTTCGCCTGGGTCCCACTCTTCAGGGGAAACACGTGCAGGTTTACACCAACTACCCTGCAGAAGGGGAGCGCTTTGAGCGCCACAAGTTCCAAGCTTTAGACTGGATTAACCCTACTGGAAGACAGGATGATTCGGACAAGTTCTGCAACCTTGACCTCCAGATTTCAGGCTCATACCAGTATTATTTTGGCCATGGGTGAGTTAGTTGCAGAAACATTTTTTTTTTTAGTATACTGTCAGTTCTGCATTTAAATATTGTTAAAACTGTACAACAGGTCCTTGTTCATTTATTTTTTTACTCTTCAGAGATAAGGAGAGGTCTGGTGGTGGATATATTGTGGTTGACCCAGTGCTCCGGGTAGGGGTGGACAACCACATCTTGCCCCTAGACTGCATCAGTATCCAGACATACCTGTCCAAATGCCTCGGCCCCCTGGATGAGTGGCTGGACAGGCTTAGAGTTGCCAAAGAGGCAGGTAAGAAGACAGCTGGTGCTATATTAGTTAGTTACACTTACAATTTTAACACTTACAACTTTAAAGGAGTCATAACCTAGTATTACCTTGGATACCCACGCTCTATTATAGTCTTTCAGGCCCTTCGAAAAAAGAAAAGTGAAAAAAAAAATAAACACAGCTCCTCTGACCCTTATTTCTGAATGCATTATTGTCTCGCGAGATCTGATGCGATATTTTGGCTGTCGTGGACGGTCATTTTAATAATGCAAATGAGGGGCGCGTTGATTGGTGGCAGGAAGGAGGGGGCTTGACACCGCAGGTAACTTCAGCATATCATTCCAAAATGACGTCATGGCGCAAGTTGTGAATGAACCCGACCTGGCCGCGACCTACGGAATTCAACCATATATGTTTGAGCCAGACTCTGAACCAGAGCTGGAAACGGAAGATATAGAGTCAATGGAAAAACATCTACATCAACATGTCTCTGAATGAATGGTAAAGACAATCATTTTGACTGAGACATACATTAACATCAGTAACGAGCTAAAACGTTTGTTGCTATTTTCTCCCACATAAGTTTACCTTTTATTTAATGTAGATTACATTAACGGAGATGTAGTCTACTTTTTTTCATCAGCTTACAGTGGTTATAGAGATCAACGTTTGCTATCATGTGTTGTTTTTGCCTTGTTTCACGTTGTGGTTTTTTAGACATTCAATATTTTTCATCTACAGACATGTAACGTGATGTTTTTCTTTATGTTTATTATTATTTGACTGTTTGTTTTATTTATCTATCCTTATCTATTATATAAAAAAATCAATACAATGATATGTTGTCATTGTTATATAATATACAATTATATGAAATAATGGCTTTATCATTTTCTTGTCTGTTTATCACTGAGGGTGTGTAAAATGTTTAGCGCAGACACCTAACGTTGAGCCAGTTGATAGGGTTGTTGGAAAAGCGTCATTAAAAATGATTTTCATCCACTGGTCCCTGGTAGTTTGGTCCGTTTTTGGTAGAGAAAACACATTTGAATGTTGATTCTGGCAGTCAACCACAGAGCAACTCACGTGTGCACTACATTTCTGCATCTTTCTTGACTGAATATGAGGGGGAGAGGGGCAGGGCGGGCTTCCTGCAGCATATGTCTGCGGTGTCCATATATGGTATATCCTGCCCCGTCTTGACGTCAAGTCGAGGTGAGAAATTAAAATCTCGTATTTGAGTGCGCGTGCACGTGGGCTGGTTTACGAACCCTGGGGTAAACAAACGCTTCACTTTTGAATATCGGCTTCCCGGCCAATGTATAATCGTTAGGCAATCATAACATACATTGATTCTCGTGGAAAAGTGAAAATTACAGGTTATGACTCCTTTAACTCCATTTGAACTTCTCTTATCTCCTTCTCTGCAGTCTATTTGATTATATGAACAAATCAATAACCAATAACTATGCAGAAACTGAACAAATAGATTTAAAGAGGTTAAGTTAGTCAAAGCTAGTTAGGTCAAGTTAGTTTTTCCAAAGTGAACATTTTTGAGTTCTTTATTTTAGAATAATGACCATTAGAGATGCTTGGGTCAGCTCTAACATCACCCGAATCTACTGTTAAAAATAAACCATCCACCCGCCACCCATCCGAACTATAGATATCTGCACCCGAACCACACCCGATCGTCACAATACAGTTATTCAAATTCTCAGTGTTAAAAGTGAGATGACATGGTAACATAACACTGAAGTAGGCTGAAGTAGACTGAAGTAGGCTGCTTTTAATTGAACATTTGTTTAAGGTAAAAGTTATTTACAAGTAGTCTAAGAATAGTTTCTAAACAAAAGCTTGCCTCTAGTTCCGCCAATTTTCCGAACAAACACAAAAGAAATTAAATATGTTCAGTCCAAGCAAAGGCTGGATATAGGCTTTATTAGTTTAATGTCAGATACATACTGCGGTTCACAGCCATTACATATCACGTACCCAGCACTTAATTCATCCTGGTTAGCTATTTCACTAAAAGGCTCCCACTCGAATCTGTTTAGCTTCCACTAACCCTGCAATTGCATAGTTTATTGAGAGTCTGCAAATTAGTGCCTGACCAAAAAATTCAGCTTTTAACAATTTAATATTTCCATCATTATGCTGGAAAACTCTCCTATCAGAATAATTTCTGTTACGCGTATGTATATTTTTAGTTAAAGCTGTTAAGTTATTAAGCAATATCTTTTTTTCCTTTGTGTTTTATATAATGACCACTAGGAGGTGATTGATGCATACTATATGTTTTCCTTGACTGGTTTTCCCTGAAGAGATAAAAGTTGTTGTTGAAAACAAATTAAAGGAGTGACGCACGTTCGTTGCATTTTACCATGAAATGAGAATTCCGTGTCTTATCGTATTAATGTCAACACATTAACGATTTATCTCTTTAACCCACCCGATATTAATTGGAATATTATTATCCGCAGTGCATTACTAATGGCCGTATATAATCATACACTGTAAGGTCTATCATTGAAATGCACGTAGATCATACTTTGCCGGTTTTATTACATTGGTAAATTAACTGAAATATCTCTTAATATTCAGTTAGTATTCTGTTTCAAAGTAACTGATTTCATATTAAATTTCTATTTTTTTAGGGTATAATATGATTCACTTCACACCACTGCAGACGCTGGGTGAGTCTCGCTCCTGTTACTCCCTGGCCGATCAGCTGGAGCTTAACCCAGACTTCTCCCCTCATGGACAAGCTTACACCTGGACAGATGTTGGCAACCTGGTGGAGAAAATGAAGAATGAGTGGAATATGCTTTGCATCACGGATGTGGTTTACAATCATACGGGTGCGCGTTTTCCTTTTCCGTTTTTTATTATCTTGTTTATAGACAATTTTGGTACTTTTTAACTTTTAAAATATCCTAATATCTCTGATGCATAACCGTTATAAAAGATTGTCAAAAGGCTGTTAACTAATTTTAGATTAAGTATAACATATCACACCCACAGGTCTTCTCAAAAGTATTGCATGTCAATTATCCATTTGCAGGGTCCAGCTATAGTGGGTTCTCTTATTCCAATGGAAAAGGCCACAGTTCCAAAGTGAATGACTGTAATCTCCAGTAAGCCCCCACTAAAAGCCTTTGCATTGACTTCAATTCTAAAAATAGTTTATTTGCAGAGGACAGGACCTATCGGTGAAACATTTAGCCTGTCTGATATAGTGTGGTTAAGCTGTTGAATGGACCCAATATGTGAGCAGAATACTAAAGAGAAGCACTTTAAAACTTTCTTTCAGACAAGCTGACTGACTGTGAAGGTTTAGAGAAGGCTAATGTGTTTACAGATGAATAACTGCAGGGGAATTTGAATTGTTTACTTGTTTTGCGTAGTCTTGTTACAGAGCTTCTTCAGTCTCTGTTTGACATCTCTAAGCATGTCACTATAAGATCATGTTTCTTTTTCCTTAATCTTGTCTTGCTGTGCATGCATGTGTTAGAGTAGTCAGGCTTAATAGAAAGCAAAGTTCATAGTTCATTTCTTTCTACCAGAACTCAGCACAGCTAAAGGTCAGGGGGTGTGTGATACCTTATCTGAAGCTGTGTACAAATGCCAAACATTTAAACAAGGGGAAGTCCAGTGCGGCATGGTATATGTGTGTATTTGTGCTGGTTACATATATACAGTTGGGTCCAAAAGTCTGAGGCCACATTATGAATCTGAGAATCAAAGTCCAAAATACGTATATAAATATACAAACATTTATTTGATTAAAAAATATATAGTAAAAACTGTAATATTGTGAAATATTATAAAAAATTATTACAATTTTAAATAGTTGTTTTCTATTAATATATTTGAAACTATCATTTATTCCTGTGATGACAAAGCTGAATTTTCAGCATCATTACTCCAGTCTTCAGTGTCACATGATCCTTCAGAAATCATGCTGATTTGCTACTCAAGAAACAACAATTAATATACCGTTTCTAAAAAAAAATTGTGCTGCTTGATATTTTTGTGGAAACCGCAAGACATTATTTCATGATTTTTGATTATTTGAAAGTTCATAAGTACCGCATTTATTTGAATCTATGCATTTATTGTAAATACTGTCTCTTTAGAACCAACAACTTTTAATTGGGGTGGGGGGAGGGGGTGTTTCAAGTAGAATCACCAATTCAGTGACTTGCAGTGACTTATGTGATGCCCATTTCATCTTCTAAGTCCTTTTTAATTTGTTTTGCATTACAATGTCATGATAACCGCTATGTCTTTTAACCGTCTGCCATTCTCAGCTGCTAACAGCAAATGGATTGAGAAACATCCTGAGTGTGGTTATAACCTGGTGAACTCTCCTCATCTGAAGCCGGCCTGGGTGCTGGACAGGGCCCTGTGGCACGTCACCTGTGCTTTAGCTGATGGCAAATACGAAGACAGGGGTCTCCCTGCCCTAATCCAGGATCACCCGCACCTCCATGTGAGTGAATCGCTTTCTGTGAAAGCCATAGAATGGAATTCATTTTGAAGTCTAAGGTGCTCTTATTTCCTTCAAAACTAACTGCAATGTGTTTTCACTAGGCCATTCGTGGAGTTCTCTGGCAGGATGTGTTTCCCAAAATTAAACTGTGGGAGTTCTTCCAAGTCAAAGTGGAACCGGCGGTGGAGCAGTTCAGAGCTTTACTACAAAGCGGTGAGTTCCTGGATGGTTCTCAGACACTTAGGTTAAGAGAAGTGAAAATGTTAAAGTCAGCATGAAATGGAAGTTGCGATAGTCTTTTGTTCACTTTTGTGATGGATATCCAAGTGAAACGGCTTGTTGAACAAGGAAAAATGCAGGACGGGACTTGATTCTGTTCATCAGGGAATCGTTGGAGGGTTGTGGTTTGCTATTGGTTGATCTCATGTGAGTGACAGGTTGTCCCTCGCGCCAGTAAACACGTCATCAGAGAAGAGATGTCTCTGCAATAGGGGGAGGAAGATATTTCGAGATTACAAGGGCACATGAATTAAAAAAAAAATATGTGCACAGATTAAAGGGATAGTTCACCCCAAAATGAAAATTCTGTCAGTATTTACTCACCCTCATGTTGTTCCAACCCCGTAAGACTTTCGTTCATCTTCGGAACACAAATTAAGATATTTTTGATTAAATCTGAGAGCTGGATCACTCCTCCATAGGCTTCTTAAGGGATCGAAACTGACCGGCCCAAAAGTTATGAAAGACATCGTTAAAATAGTCCGAGTGACTACAGTGGCTCAATCTTAAATTTATCAAGCGACGAGAATACTTTTTGTGCGCAAAGAACAAACAAAAATAACGACTTTATTCAACTATTCATTTCCTTCTCTGTTGGCCTCGAGATTTCACGTTGTAAAACTACGCAAAGCTTCTAGGTTGTACGTCACACGCATCACACACATGACCAGCGTCGGCCAATAGTGAGCCTACGTGTGACGTGCAACACAGAAGCTTTGCGCAATATGACTACGTGAAATCTCACGGCCGACAGAGAAGGAAATGAATATTTGAATAAAGTCGTTATTTTTGTTTGTTCTTTGCGCACAAAAAGTATTCTCGTCGCTTTTGAATGAAAGAATTTTCATTTTTGGGTGAACTAACCCTTTAATCATTTATAATAAATACTTCAATATTCCATAAATTATTTTCTTTCATGGTGACTTTAAAGGGTTAGTTCTGAATTGTTAGTTCTTGTCTGTACAGGAGCCAAACCTGATAGGATCAAGACTGATGACAAACAACAACTGAAGATCATTCAGGACCCTCAGTACAGGCGCTTTGGTAACACAGTGGACATGAACTCCGCTTTAGAAACCTTTGTGCCCCATGGGTTAGTATGCTGATGCACATTTGAGCATGTTTTCAGTGTAGACCTGAGGGGTGCAAAACTCAGTTCCTGGGGGTCCACAGCCCTGCAGAGTTCAGTTCCAACCCTGCTCCAACACACATACCTGTAGTTTTCAAATAAGCCTGAAGGACTTGATAAGCTGGATCAGGTGCGTTTAATTAGGGTTGAAGCTAAATTCTGCGGGACTGTGGCCCTCTCCAGGAACTGAGTTTTGCACCCCTGCTGGACACTGTTTATTATGCTTTATTTGGTATTCTACAGATGAATTATAAATTTATGTTGTTGTAGGAGCAGTCCTGGTGCCATTGAAGATTGCTGTAACTGGCTGAGGAGGAGACTAGAGGAAATCAATGGTGAACAGTTTCATGAAATGAAGCACCATCAGGAGCAGGTGAGTCTCTCTCTCTGTAGAATTACCTCTAATTTAAATGTAGTCCAGTGCAGTAATGTAACTTCTTTACTCTCAGGCTACCAACTGCATTGATGGAACCGTGAGCTATGAAAGACTGGCTGACCATGGACCCAAGTTGGGCCCCGTCACCAGGAAGCATCCTCTGGTTACCAGGTAGCACAGTTCATTCCATCCGCCTCTGCTGAAGTTTTAGCATTATGTTCCTTTGTTTAATAAAATTAATGTATACAATAAGGGCCGTAGCTAAGGTATCCGGAGCCCCGGTGCGGGTTGTTGTTGTGGGTCCCCATCGGTTGGGCCCTAGAATCGTCACCAACTTCCGGCCCTCTAGCGATGTCCCTAAATATAATACAATATATGTAATTATGGTGCTTCTGAAAACTTTTGTCTTTATGCAGATATTTCACTTTCCCATTCGAGGAGGCAACTTTGGAGGAAGATCTGGAACTGATTAATCAACCAGAAAAGTCATGTCACTTCCTGGCCCACAATGGCTGGGTCATGGGGGACGATCCTCTGAGGAACTTCGCAGAGCCAGGTTTGATAGAGTTTTGTTACATGTTTTCTTTAATTATATAAAATATAGTAGTTTATATACGGACTGTAAAGAAGCTTAAAATAAAGTTGCATGTTGATTTATTAGGTTTTTTCTTCATTGAAATGGCAATTTTGAAAGAGCTTCTGAAAAAAAAGTTTGTGGTCAGTAAGATTTAAAAATTTAATTAAATAAATGAATTATTTTATTCAGCAAGGACGCATTCAATTTCTATTTAAAAAAAAAAAGCTATTCATCATTGAATACAAAAAAATATTAGGCAGCACAACTGTTTTCAACATTGATAGTAATAAACATGTTTCTTGAGCTGCAAATCAGCATATTAGAATGATTTCTGAAGGATCATGTGACACTGAAGACTGGAGTAATGATGCTGAAAATTCAGCTTTACCATCACAGGAATAAATTACATTCCTTAAATTTACATTTATTATACATAATATATTTACAAAGTTTACTTTTATTTTTGATCAAATAAATGGAGCATTGGTGAGCATAATAGAAAAACATTTTAAAAAAATCTTACTGACCCAAACTTTTAAACAGTAGTGTAATTAAGTTTATTGTTTAAAAGGTAAAACTATTCATGGCTAAATTAAAAAAGAGTTTTCATCTACCATTAAGACTTTAATATTCTCAGTTCTAAAGTTCTCGCTTTTAACCATATTTAAGTCCACTCCTCAGAAATACACAGATTTCCCGCCACAATTACTGGGGGAAAAAAAAGTTTGTAAAAAAGTTTAAAAGTGTATTGTAAAAATGAATTCTGTCACAGTGGATTTGTAAGATGGCAGTGATGTCATTCTGACTTTAAACACAAGGTGGCGATATCAACACATTTCTAAATCCTAATCATTGACAACACTTGCCAAACCTTTTTGGCAGTGAGGTGAATCAAAGTTGCTTTTTCATCTTCTCCTCATTTTGGTCAGGGTCCAATGTCTACATCAGGAGGGAGCTGATCTGCTGGGGTGACAGTGTTAAACTGCGGTATGGCAACGGGCCCGAGGACTGCCCCTACCTGTGGGCCCACATGCAGAAATACACCGAGATCACGGCCAAGCACTTTGTGGGAGTGCGTCTGGATAACTGCCATTCAACTCCACTGCATGTGGCTGAGGTACAGCGGCAGTGTCTAAAGATGGATTATTACTTTTGGCTAGATCGCAGATAAATAACCTGTTTGAGATTAACTATGTGTAAAGATGAATATTAGACATGGGGGGCAGGAATGTTTTTTTCCCCTACACATTTTGATATGGCGAGCTCGTTAGTTACTGTCTTGGTTAGTACGTTTTGGCTGCTGACTGTTCCCCATCCACCGATAGCTCCGTCATTTGCTGTACTTCACACTAAGAAATATTAAGTGTGGCTTATTCTCTGTTCTATGCTTATTGATAAATCAGTGATGTATAAGAGTCATGCTATGCAACTGACGCCTTTTCCAGTTTAACATGGTGATTTTTAAATTACAAAAGTTGGTCCCGCTTTATATTAGATGTCTTTAACTACCATGTACTTACATAAAAAAAATGTTTGGTACAATAAATGTACTTATTGTGTTCATGTTGAATTGCAAAACACATTTGCTGCTATTGAGGTGGGAGACAAGTAAGGTTAAGACAGGTTTGGTGGTATGGGTCAGGGAAAGGCAAAGGAAAGGTCAACAGTGTAAATATAGATGTAATTACAGAAATTAATTGCAGCTGTAATTACATGCAGGTATGTACAATGTAAAAGTATGTACTTTATGTACACAATAAGTGCATTGTAACAAATGATTCATTTAAATGCTAGTACATAGTAAAGACACTTAATATAAAGTGGGACCCAAAAGGTTTCATACGATTTTAAATCTTTTATTAGACAAATTTATATGTTTGAATCTTAATAAATTGCATTATAAGTCATGTTGGGATGTAGTTATGCCCTCAGAAAGATAACAGGGTTGGCATGATGTTTTTCAATTATCAGTTTACTACACACAAACATAGTAACAGATCGTCTCTTAAACAATGTTTAAAAAGAGACTGACTTTTCCTTAGTTCTAATAGTTGACTTTTCCTTAGTTCCTATAGTTCACTTCTTTAAAGTGATTCTGTCATTAAAATAATGTTGCATAAGCATTTATTGAAAATTTGAAACCTGGGGACAACTTTAAGTCTGCTTTTCTTAAGACTACTGAAAATGTAAAAATACAGAAGGCACAAAGACAAATTGATAGCTTTCAAAATGTGCATATTTGCTAATACAGTGAGAAGTCGAAAGCAAAGGGCAAAAGTAACCTCATGAAAAAATAAAAAGTTGAAACATGAAATAAAGCTACATTTCAAAATTTGTGCGTTTCTAAAAATATCTATAATAACACATATACATTTGTAAACGTTGTTAACCCTGGAATGCATAAAGGGGGTCAAATTGACTTGGAATGGTGTGATTTTTGAAATATTTTATCAATGAAAACAATTATTTATTTGATATTCCATGACCCTCATCAATTTACTTTTCATATTTCTTGATCATAGGATTGGGATTTTTGTATTACTACCTCTAGAATGCACAAAGAAAGGGGGTTAAATTGACCTGTATTCATTTCCTATGGAATTTTGACTCAACGCAGTATCTTTTTTGTCAACAATACTTATTTTCTTAAAATATGTGTTACTTAAAAATATGTTTTTACTTTTTGTTTTACTCTGAGCCAAGAATTTGCCTCAGACACCAACCCTGTGTCTCAACACGCATATGATACCTCCCTACTTTATAATAGGTGAAAAGCAGTATGTTAAATGAGTAGTATGTCTGAGTTCACGGCATTCACACAAAACAGTAGGCAAAAAAGTATCCGGATTACCTACTACTTCTGCCATGATTCTGAAGATCACATCCAATGGACACTTTAACATTCAACAGGGAAATGAGGCAACTCACTCTATAGCTCACATTACAAGTGGCGGATGTAGTACATTGAGACTGCATTAATACTATACACATTCATGCTTGATAATATACATATGCACATGCATACTTTTGTAACAGTCATGTAGTTCTTCATCAAATGTAGAACCTACTCAAGACAGTATATGTGATTTCAGGCTATAGGAAAGGTCAGCTGAAGGTTCAAACAAAGGTGCATCTGCCCAAAAGTTATGCTTAGAAAGGTCCAAATCTTATGTGAAATGTTCTGTCTTTGTCTGAAAAGTTTATTTTCACAATATTCTCTAGTAGTTTAGAGTTTAAGAAAAAGTACAACTGCATTTAAAATATCATCTTTTGTAATGCATATATACAAGAAAAGTGGACTGGAATGTTTGATATATTAAAACATTAGTGTATCATCAATTATTTTGATTATTCCATTAATAGGGCATGTATTTTTGAAGAAAACCATTCATTCCAATACAGGTCATTTTGACCCCCTCCATGCATTCGTGTTGATTCATTTATGGTTTATGCATTCTAGGGTTAAAGTTATTTTAAAACACATGTACTGTATTTAAGGGACATGAATGAAACCCATCTAAATGTAACATCAGTTGACGGTTTTCTAGGCAGCAAAACTTCTGAATTGTATCACATGTTGTGCCCTGCAGGCCATGCTGGCGGTGGCCAGAGCAGTCAGACCCAATCTCTATGTGATAGCCGAGCTCTTTACAGGCAGCGAGCTGATTGACAATGTGTTTGTAAACCGGCTCGGAATAACCAGTCTCATCAGAGGTACTGATGTCTGTAAGCATGACACTAACAATGTCTTATCTGTTTGTTTTTCTCTTTTTGCTCTGCATATCCTGTCATTCCCTCTCTGAACTATCATTCCTGAATATTTACATCCTAAAACTCTCTCCTGGACCTTGTTTCCTGTTCACTCATTTTGGCTTCATTTGAGGCATGACTCTCCTTCTTTTCTGAACCCATTTTTTTGCCCCTCACCTGACATACTAACACCCGTGGTTTGGTTTCCTCTTGGCTGTGTGTCTTGCACTAACCCTGCTTGCTGCAGTTCATGCTGGATGCCGCCCGCACACTGAGGCCTGACCTGTACGTGGTGGCCGAGCTCTTCACGGGCAGCGAGGAGCTGGATAATGTCTTTGTGACTAGATTAGGAATCTCCTCACTCATCAGAGGTATGGCCTTCTAATAACCCAGGTCTTTGACAAAATTGCATTGTAGCTCCTTTATTATATTGTTTGTACATAAGTGTATAGTGTGAAGTCTAACACTATTATCAAACATCCTGAATTGTTACCATTCAAAAGTTTGGGGTCACTACGGATTGAATGTTTTTTTAAAGAAGTCTCATGCATCCGCAGTTGAAACATGGCTGTATTTATTTGATCAAAAATGCAGTAAAAACATCAGCTTTTCATCATTTACTCGCCTCATGTTGTGCCAAACCTGTATGACTTTTTTTCTTCTGCACTAGAACTTAAAAACTTTAAAAAGGACACAGAGCACCATAAAACTAACTAAAACTACCCTAAAAGTAGTCCACATGACTTGTGCACTACATTCCAAGTTTTCTGGTGTCATACAATATAGTTGGGTAAGAAACAGACTGGATTTGAAATTTTTTACTGAAAATCGATTCATTATGAATCACTTTTTTCAGTTGTATTTTTTCAATGAATAATTTGATCTGATTTGATCTGCAAAACTGGTACGAATTATTTTTTTGTGTACAACTTAAATGAAAGTACAGGTTTGGAATGACCATGAATGTGAGTGAATGGTGATGAAGTTTCTATTTTTAAGTGAAGTAATTAGCACCTATTAAAGTGCCCCTATTATGCTTTTTCAGATATTAACTTTCATGTAGTGTGTAATATAGCTGTTTGTGAACATAAAAGTTCTGTAAAGTTTCAAAGATCAAAGTGCACGATAAACAGAGTTATTGTCTCCCAAAAGACAGATGCGATTCTGAACTGCCTGAAATGAGTCGTCAGTAATTCCAGTCTCACTTCCTGCACGAACTTGTGTAGGTTTGTAAAAAATTGCATTATCTCAGCCTATGGTCATCATTGGCTGCCTGCGAATAACGTCTACTTTAACCCTACTTAAATACTGTAGTTGTAGCTGAGGCCTGGAAGTGTTTGTGTTTAGAGATGAGAAGACGCTGTTTTCTGCACTTTAAAAGCGAAACCACTTTGCATGCAGTTTCCAAAGGATGAGGACTCGGGCTCAAATTGGTAAAACCGACACCATCATTAATCTGTACTGTTTGTTTCACTTTGTATACAAATGCTGAGGAAGCCTCCGCAGTTGAAATTCATAAATGTTAATTGCCGTTTCGTTTGCGATTCAACCAATCTAAACAGACTGGGCCATCTGACCAATCAGAGCAGAGTAGACTCTCGGAAACGAGACAGAATCTCTAAAGTCCTTTTTTTTTTCAGAATATTTTAGAAATGAGTTGATCTGCAATGTATATTATGAGAAAATGAAAGTGCTTTTTTTATTTTGGATTCATCTAAACCTATTGTAGGAGACCTCCAAAACAAAATCAGGAAACGTTTTAATAGCATAATAGGGGCACTTTAAACTGATGGAGTATTGATACTTTGCATTGCGTTACTTGTCATTCCTTGTGCTGTTGTAGAGGCGATGAGCGCAGGAGACAGTCATGAGGAGGGCAGGCTGGTGTACCGGTACGGAGGGGAACCGGTAGGGGCTTTTCTTCAGCCCAGTCTCAGGCCTCTGGTGCCCAGCATTGCCCACGCCATGTTCCTAGATGTCACACACGATAATGAGTGCCCTATTCAGGTATAGCATTTTCAAACACGTTGAATTACATTAATGTTGATGGAGCTTCTTGAATGAGTTCTTATATTGATCTTCTGTGTTGTAGGTCCGCTCTGTATATGATTCACTGCCCAGCTCTGCTGTTGTTTCTATAGCCTGCTGTGCCACTGGTAGCACCAGAGGCTATGATGAGTTAGTACCCCACCAGGCAAGATAACAACTTCACACAGACTCACATGGATTGAGTTCCTTTTTTTGAGTACATCTTGAAAGCCCTTCTTTTTTGTCTCTACCATCAGATCTCAGTGGTTTCAGAGGAGCGCTTTTATAGCAAATGGAATCCTCAGGCTAAGCCATCATCCCCTGATGAGGTCAACCTGCAGTCAGGAATCATCGCCGGAAAGCTGGCCCTCAATCGGCTACACCAGGATCTGGCTGCAAAAGGCTTTAACCAGGTAAATGCAGCCCTAGGGGTCCACATGTTTATGCCACATAAGGGGCTTTTGCACTGGAGGAATGTTTTCATAGTTCCTACAGTATAACTATTGGCGGAAGTACCCACTTTTTGGCGTTTTCACACCACAGGAACTGGGAACAAATTTAGTAAATGGAATGCCTTTTGGGGGGACTAAATTAGCTCCTACTTCAGAGTAGTGTCTAACCCAGCAAAATAGGAACTACCAGTGACAAAACTGTACGTTGATTGGCCA